GAGAATCTTCACTCTGGACCTTCTGCTAACAATTTTCCCTCCTTGTCTCAGGGAAGCCCTGCACAGAGACTTAAACTTTCTTTAAAGTGAATCAACCTGCCGAGGCAGGTAGCACAGTCTCACGTGGTTCAGTATTTATGACCCAACTGGTCTTAACTGGTTTCTGACTTGTAAAGCCTTAAGGACATTTTTGAAGCGAGTTCTACCATTAAAATAAGGCAAAGTCTCATTGCAGCTTCCGACAATCTAGGAATTGTTGGAATTGTCTGATTGGAAGGGTTTTTATGAGTATTGTTATTGCTGCACAAAGAAATGAGAGCTTTCTTTACATGAATTAAAATACTAAAAATATCTAACACTGCTTTTTATTCTGCCAAACTGAATCAATGCCAAGCAAAAAAGGAGACATAAGGAAAAACCAGGAAGTTTACACAGCAGGAAGTGACTAAACCACTGATGAGAGTATAGGGGGGGATTGAGGTAGAGCCACCAAACCCTTTAGAGAAAAGCAGAACAAGAAACAGAAATGGAAATGGAGCAAAAGGGGGACCTGCTGAGCACAAGACAGGAAACCTTCACACCGTTTTGTTTTGGCTGAGAGACACAAGATCCTCTTAGTTTTTTATGTTTAACTGTGCATGCTGTGTTTTGTCCTGGATTGTTTTGATTAAAAAAAAATCAAAGCGTAAATTATATTAATAATTAAATTTTGCACATTTTTGATAGGGTTTTATTTTTGTTTGTTTTGTTTTTCTTTTAAAATTTTACCTGGTATCCTTAAATCTTTCTATTTATTTAAAATTTATTCTGCTTTCCAAGTCAGTGTTGATGTTTCATTTAAAATTTCAATTATGTTATAGGTTGAATATCCATACTTTAATAAAATAGAAAGTAATTGTTGCCTCTGAAAGCAAAGAGAAAACAGCTCCATGGAAGACTTTTTATTCATTCACTTGTGCAAAAAAGAAAGTTTGAAGGGAAACTTTTCTGGAAATTATTAAAGGTTAAATGTCAGGACTAAAAGATACATTTTGATGTTTAATGATACTTAATAGAAGGTATAATGTTTTATATTTCAGTATAAACAACTGAAATAATGAACCTATCAAAGGTTCATTATTTTAAATTTTTCTGATAAGGTTTGCTCCTTATAGATAATAAACTCTTCTTACCAGCTGGACGATAGTTGGTCATTTCCATTTGGTCCCTGCAGGCTGTTGATTTGTGACGATACATGGTTGTTGATGACTTGGCAGTAAATGTTTGTATCAGTTCTGCTTTCTGGTCCAGGTTCTTGGCTCCTCCCTTTGAATCTGTCTGACAATCTGTCTGCCAATGCAGTCAGAACTATGCAGGATGATTTCAAATAGAAAACGGTGAGGGAACGTAGTAAACTAAATGCTTTGAGAAACATAGGACACATATAGCAGTTCACTGCATGTATCTATTAGTTATGGCGGTTAGACAGGTTGCTTGGGAAGCAACTCTTCTAGATCAATTTTCACTAAATCAGTTCAGCTGTAGACATTTGTAAAAAATCAAATCAGATGTTTAGTTGCTATTTGCTCTGTACAGAGTCCAGACGCTGGGCCATTGGAGAAATTATTTTTTGCTCTAATCGTGGACTCTGTTGAAGTCCAGAGTTAGCAAGTTTACTCAGTTGCTAACATTTAATGTCTATATTGCGCGAGTTCTGCGCTATGAAGCTTTCCAGAATTTTCCTGCACTGTAAACAACCATCCTCCACTGCAAAGACAAAAGTGCAGCAACGAACTAGGTGGTTGTTGCTGTTAATTTAATATTTGGAAGTGTGGCCAACACAGAATGAACGATTCCCGTGGATAGAGTAGAATTCACTTCCTCCATTGCTACTGCAGCAGAGGAAGTGAATAATAACTGAAGTTATTATGTTTGGACCAAAGAGGACTGATCTGGTCTGCACACAGCTTCAGTTGTTACAGCTTGAAAAGTAGTGATCAGGCCTGAAAACTGGGAGAAGTGATGAACTCTGATCTGAACATTCAGAGCCACATAAATGCAGTTACAAAGTCGGCCTTTTATCACCTGAAGAACATTTTCAGGGTTAGAGGACTAATGTCTCAGCAACATCTAGAGAAACTCATCCATGGGTTTATCTTTAGTCGCATCGATTACTGCAACAGTGTCTCCACTGGTCTGCCTAAAAACATCAGACAGCTGCAGCTGATCCAGAATGCCGCTGCTGCTATTCTGACTAAAACCAGAATGTTTTTATGATGTTTTAATCATGTTTTTATGATGTAAAAGCACTTTTAGCTGTCTTGCTGAAATGTGCTACACAAATTACCTTGAATGATTTCTAAATCTACAGACTAAATATCCCAGCCAGCCTCTAAATCACAACATCAGTCAATACTCCATCCTGGAGAAGTTTGAAGATAAATATCATCCTGTGGATTGCCGCAGAAGATCAACAGAATGACTCAGAGAAATGGAGGAAGGTGCTACACCAATGAAATGTTTGAAGAGGCACAGAGAGCAAAGAACGAAGAAATTAAAAGAAAATCCAGACATTAAATTTATCTGTGTTGTTATAAGTGGAGCTGCTGGTGGAGCTGTGGGGAACCAGGAGGAGCTGCTGTTAGGACTTCAGTGATCATGCTAACTAGCTTTAGCATTTCTGTAAAGTTGTGATGAATCAGTTGTAGCACAGCAGAGAGCATGGAGTAGGGTCTGAGCAGCATAAACAGGAGCTTGACTGACGGCGCTAAGTCCCTCCTGGTTCTGATTGGTCAGTTCTGACTTAATGGTGCTTTTTTGCAGTTTTTACTGGAAGCTCTGATGTTATAATAATTTAACAAATATGTAAAACACATTTTTTATAAATGTTACAAGCTTCACCTTTAAATACAGCACTTAAAAATAATTTATTGTATAATAGGAAAAGGACGATTTCCAGTTCCCAAACAGACGATGGATTTAAAAAGTTTTGAATTCAAAACATTGAGTATTATTGTTGATCCAACTTTTTTAATGAGATCCTAGGACAGCATGCAGACTTCTCCAGTTATATGTACTGTGGAGCGGCACGCCCCTCCCCCACCTGTTGAGCTGTCAAAATGTTGAAAATATATTGATGAATTGTGAAAGAGGAATGGAGAAAAATAAATATTTGAAACTAAAGTAAATAAAGAGGACATTTATATAGTAAAGACTCATTATTTATCTTTGTTTTAAAAATAATTTTAATAGGTGGGAGTTGGTGCTGTTACATGTTCATGAACAGCAGGGGGCGGTATTCACCTATAAGCTCCTGGCGATCCGCCATTACAGAGAAGAAGAAGAAGCAGGATTTTAATTTTTTCACACAAGTTTCAGTTTCGCTTTTGGCATCAAGTCACCTCCGTTTTCACCAAGTTGTTTTTATTTTCTCGGATTAAACCTCAGCTCGACTTTTCATTAGAAAATAATTTATTTCTCAACAGAGTTGCAGACCGTGGAGGCACAAACGATGAGGCATGTTACATTATTTTTATCTTTATTATTTCAGTATGAACGTTATTAGACTGAAAGCAACGTGTTAACACCAGGGGTGAATGTTTAGAGATTGCTGGATTAATGAACAGTCTCATAAATGTTTTCATATTTTAATTCTTTATCTATGTTTCCCTGCCTTGTTTGACACCAGGTCTCAGTTTCACAAGCAGTTATGAACCAATCAGGTCTCAGTTTCACAAGCAGTTATGAACCAATCAGGGCTCAGTTTCATAAGCAGTTATGAACCAATCAGGGTTCAAGTTTCATAAGCAGTCATAGGTGGCAGTTACTCTGCATGAATGTCTATGTGAGAACAGCAGCGTCAACAAACAAATCAGCTCAAAGCAAAAGCCAGTGACGTCACTAGAACAACAGTTACCAAACTGAAAGTTAGAAGAACCAATAAGGAAACAGGAACCACAAAAAGTTTCAATAGGCTGTTTATTAAAGAGGAATAAAGCCCAGGATGAAATAAAATTTAATTCAGTTTATTATTTGAACTCTCTGTATGGTCATCGGAAATTAATCTCAGATTAATCAAATATAAAAAACAGTGAAGCGACTCTGATGACAGACTGAACCGGTCCAGAGAACCGGTTCAGTCTGGTGAAGCTCATGTTTTCCATTGCAGACCTGATCATAAGGAACCAGCTGTGTTACTGAGTGTGTAGAAGAAGCTGCTGTTTTCTGGATATACAGTTTCAATGGATTTATTACCAACATCTGCTGATTGTGGTAAGTAAATAAAGTTTTTTTTTGCTTTGCTTTTTTTTAAACATGAAACTGAAGGACAACAAAATGGTAGTTACACCACAAAATGTCGCTTTGAATTGTTTTGTTGCTTAAATATAATAAATGCTGATTTGAGCCTAGCATTTCTTTATTTTAGTTTTATTATTCATATGAGCTAAATCTAAGATCACAGATAATTGAAAACTTGAGAAAAAATAAATACAAATGTTTTTCTTCAAATATTATTTCTACAAATAAAAAAATTACAAGTTAAGTTTATTTGTAATTCAGCTACAAGAAAACTAAATGTGCTTTTTATGGTAAAAAGATAAACATAAAATTATGTGATAGTGGGAAAATAAAGAGAAGGACTGAAAAGATGTAATCCAGACTAGAAGTAGTCAATGTTCTGGTTATTATTAATTCAAGGAAACCCACAGGGGGTTAAACAAAATGACAATCTGGTTGATTTTAGGTATTTGTTGTATGTTAAATTTTACTTTGTGTATTAGCTGAAGTTCTTAGTCCTTATTTGCTGAACTGCACTAAAGTGTATAACTGTTAATTTCTTTAGAAAATATTTGCTCAAAACTGAAATGTATTTTCTTACATCAGGACGATTTGCAAAGTATTGAAGAAAAAGTATTTTGCTGCAAGTCTTTTTTTTATTTTTTCTACAACTTTGCAGTCTGTCTAATTTTCTTTTAGACCAATAAAATATCCTTCTGTAACCGACATCTATCTGAATAAAAATGCTCAGGTTGTTGTTTTCTAATTCTCCAACAGCTGAGAAGCAGCCGGACCTCAGGATTGTTCTTCTTGGAAAAACTCAAGTTGGAAAAACCTCAGCAGCAAAAACCATCTTAGGGAACAAAGATCATGCTTGGGTTTCCTCAGCCACATTGTTCTGTGAGAAGAAAACCAGTGTAAATGCTGGTCTAAATGTCACTGTTATTGATACTCCAGGTGTGTTTGGGACTATAAACATTAATCGCGATATTATGAAGGAGATCAATAAAGGCATCAGCATGGCAGCTCCTGGTCCTCATGTCTTCCTGATTGTGATCCAACCGACCAGATTCACACCAGAAGATGAAAAAATAGTGAAAATAATTAAGGAAACATTTGGAGAAGAAGCAGCCAGATACACCATGGTCCTGTTCACCCATGGAGACGAGCTGAGAGAGGAAAACATTAACATAGAAGACATGTTAAAAAGACGCCATCCTCTAAAACTCTTCACCAGTCAGTGCTCCAGCTTGGAGAAGTTTGAAGATAAATATCATGTTTTTGACAATGAAGTTGAGGATCCTGATCAAGTCAGCAAACTGCTGGAGAAGATCCAAAGAATGGTTCAGCAAAATGGAGGACGTTACTTCCTCCAAAATGGAGGACGTAATGTCCGCCGTAATGTCCTCCAAAATGAAGGCAGTTACTTCTTCCATTTTGATGAGATGTTCAGATACTCTCTGAGAGCGAAGCAAGAAAAATTTAAACGATCGCTCAGAGGAAATCCAGGCTTTAATCCTGAAGGTGCAGAAAGAGCTGATCCTCAAGGTAAGGCTGCGCGATATGGCCCAAAATCAATATTATGATATCCTGATCAATTCACCTAGATAACAATAAGTTAACCCTAACCACTCTCACCCGCAGCATCTCTGGAAATGGCTTAACACCAACTCTTCATAGCCACTTACATTATGTAATTTACGTAATTATTTTTATTACCACTTTGATTAAATCAGCAGTTATAAAATAAGACTTTTTAAAGTTACGTAATTCTCATATTTTTCTCCAAGTCAATCTGAGAAACATGTCATTCTGTATTTTACGTCATTAAACTCATTTTTAGCGTTGTACTTCTATCTGTAACAAGAAATTGATTTCAGTTTATTGTTGTTTTCCAGACTGCAGGATTGTTCTTCTTGGAAGAACTGGAGCTGGAAAAAGTGCAGCAGGAAACACCATTTTAGGAGGAAGATATTTTCAGTCCAGAGCCTCTGAGTCCTCTGTGACATTGGTCTGTCAGAGGGAAAGCAATTATTTCCATGGCTTTGGTCTGGATGTTGTTGACACTCCAGATCTGTTTGGGTCAAACCTGGAGTACCTGGTCTGCCCCAAACAGATGGCTCGATGCGTCAGCATGGCGGCTCCTGGTCCGCATGTCTTCCTGATTGTTCTCCAACTGACCAAATTAACACCACAAGAAAGAAAAACTGTGGAAATAATCCAGAGATTGTTTGGAGAAGAAGCAGCCAGATACACCATGGTCCTGTTTACATATGGAGATGTGCTGAAAAAGAAAAACATAACAATGAAAAGCATAATAGAAAAACACCAGCCTCTAAAACACTTCATCAATCAGTGCTCTGTCTTGGAGAAATTTGAAGAAAAATATCACGTTTTTGACAACATTACTGCAGATAGAACTCAAGTCCAGGAACTTCTAAAGAAGATCATGAAAATGGTTGAGCAAAATGGAGGAAGTTTCTACAGCAATGAGATGTTCAGAGAGGCACAGAGAGCCAAGCAAGAAGAAATGGACCGACGGCGCAGAGAAAACCCAAAAACGTTTGTTAAAGATGGAAGAAAACAGGCAGAGAGAGAGAACTCATTTATCCGTGCTGCTATGGATGCTGCTGCAGGCGGAGCTGCTGCAGGCGGAGCTACTGCAGGCGGAGCTGCTGCAGGTGGAGCTGCTGCAGGTGGAGCTGCAGCAGGCGGAGCTACTGCAGGCGGAGCTGCTGCAGGCGGAGCTACTGCAGGTGGAGCTGCTGCAGGCGGAGCTACTGCAGGTGGAGCTGCAGCAGGCGGAGCTGCTGCAGGCGGAGCTGCTGCAGGCGGAGCTGCGGGTGGAGCTGCTGCAGGTGGAGCTGCAGCAGGCGGAGCTACTGCAGGCGGAGCTGCAGCAGGCGGAGCTGCAGCAGGCGGAGCTGTGGGTGGAACTGCTGCAGGTGGAGCTGTGGGTGGAGCTGCTGGTGGAGCTGCTGCAGGCGGAGCTACTGCAGGTGGAGCTGCAGCAGGCGGAGCTGCGGGTGGAGCTGCTGCAGGTGGAGCTGCAGCAGGCGGAGCTACTGCAGGCGGAGCTGCAGCAGGCGGAGCTGCGGGTGGAGCTGCTGCAGGTGGAGCTGTGGGTGGAACTGCTGCAGGTGGAGCTGTGGGTGGAGCTGCAGGTGGAGCTGCAGCAGGCGGAGCTGCGGGTGGAGCTGCTGCAGGTGGAGCTGCTGGTGGAGCTGCTGCAGGCGGAGCTACTGCAGGTGGAGCTGCAGCAGGCGGAGCTACTGCAGGCGGAGCTGCTGCAGATGGAGCTGCGGCAGGTGGAGCTGCTACAGGTGGATCTTCTGCAGGTGGAGCTGCTGCAGGTGGAGCTACTGCAGGTGGAGCTACTGCAGGCGGAGCTGCTGCAGGCGGAGCTGCTGCAGGCGGATCTTCTGCAGGTGGAGCTGCGGGTGGAGCTGCTGCAGGTGGAGCTGTGGGTGGAGCTGCTGGTGGAGCTGCTGCAGGTGGAGCTGATGTAGGTGGAGCTGATGCAGGTGGAGCTGATGCAGGTGGAGCTGATGCAGGTGGAGCTGATGCAGGTGGAGCTGCTGCAGGTGGAGCTGATGTAGGTGGAGCTGATGCAGGTGGAGCTCCAAACATCTCTAACATGATGGAGGTGGTAGGAGTGCTGCTGCTGGAGTGAGAGGTGAAATGATCAGAGATTCACTAATCCGATATTAATGCCCGTATCAGTTATTGGTCTCAGCGGTACTGGATGGTGACGCACCAAATTATTTTGTTTCACGTTATGTTTATTAGATATTTTGAATATTTATGCTGAAAAAGGGAAAAGGGACAACGACAAGAGGACAAACTTATACAGGACAGATATAGAAAACATAAATTACTGGAACAAAATAACCCATGTAAATATGGGTTATTTTGTTATTTTGATATCATTTCTCCAGCAGAAATGTGAATGTCAGACCTGTTACAATGCAAAGGCTTCAACATGTGTTTACAGTGAAAGATGCATTTCAAGATATTCATCATCCCGGTTCACATTTATGGCCTTTTAATTTAATCCAGAACTTGCTCCCATTTTTAAATGCATTTTCCATTCGGATAATTTCTACATCTTTTTAATACAATAACTTCACAAATTAAATTTTCCCACAACTGGACTGAACACCTCTAATCATTATGGACTTTCCAGTCAACATCAGTAGGAATTGTAAAATTTCTGTCAGTATCCAGGTGAAAAGTTTTTTATTTTTATTTATGTTACATCAATATAAAGCACATGAAGTGTGCATATATATAGTCTATATTTGTGCATTTGTACCAAAATCAGAGTTTGAAATGGTTTTAAGTATCGAGAAATGTTGCATTTTACTTTATTTTGAAAAACTGACACCGCTGGTGCGTTTTCCTGTATAACAGCGACTCCTGCTGTTTGAAGAGCTGCAGAGGGAAAACCTTCATCTGATTATTATACCTGTAATCCCAAAACTGCCCTTAATCCAGCCTTTGCTGCTCCATTGGTTAGTGACAGTCAGTCACACAGAGCATTCAGCCAATCGCTGCACCTGAAGTGATTTTTCAGGCCTGCTCCAACTTTCCCAATCAGACAAAGGAGCTACAGGTTTGTGCTTCCAAACAATTAGTTTATCTCTTTGTTTATTATGCAATTTTAAAAAACGTACAATATAAAAGTCGTGTAGATCTGAACACCCAGTGAGCTTGCAGCCATGAATCTGTCATGCACTGATCTATATATGCAGTTGGTGGGTAGTGAACATAGTGCTGTTTTGTTTGTTTGTCATGTTGGTGGTGGTAGCCAATGCTAATTGTTTGATCATCAGTTGTCACATAATCTAACTTTTCAAATTGAATACATGTCTGTAAGATAATGAGATAAATGCTGATATCTTTATTTTGTCTTAAAGATTTGATTGTGGCTACAGGACCAGTTTATTTCAATACCTGCCAGGTGACCCTTTTTAGGGTTAAAGGATGTCGAGCTTCTGACAACCGGCTGGAACCAGGAGAACCTGAATTTCACTCCATACTGGTCTGGTAGGAGGCTGGTGGTCTGTACTGGTTTCCCCTCCATTATACAGACACACAATCCATTATTCATCTCTTCTCCATCAGAAACAAATTATGGACAATCAAACCATGGATTTTTATTTTATTTATTTTTTTTAAAATGTGTGTCAGTCAGATGCTGTGCTGAAATTAGGAGTACTGTGTGTACTCCTAATTTTCCCCAATACAATAAATACAATATATATATTGATACAGAACTGGGTATTATGTATGTTTTGTGTCTTGTGATGTTCCCTTTCATTTTCTCTTCTATAAAATACATGGTATTGAAAGCAGTTATTCTTTTGTATTGTTTTTATTGATTACTGAGAAAAGCACCAATAGATGAATTTAGTCTTCTGCTATCATGTCCCATTTAGTCCCTTAGTACATTAAGTTGTGCTCCATACTGGGCTTTATTTATTTATTCACATGCTGTTATTCTGGTTTTGGTTGAGTCTGAAGTAAGCAGATTAACATCTCCAACACATCAGTCTGGGATTGTTCTGCTGCGTCTACCAACATTTACTCACTACTTCAACAGATTTTCACACGAGTGAAAGTAAAAAGTATCCATCAAGAAATAAATCGAGTAAGAGTAGAGAAGTGTTTGGTAAAAATTCCACTGAGGTAACTGATCAAATTATCAGTCATTTCATATTTAAAGAAAATTACATTATCAGATGTACAAAAATAATAATTCATATAAGTAACAAAAAATAACAATCAGGCAAGATAAAATGGAGTTTCTTTCAATAAAAAAACATCTCAATCTGCAGGTGTGTCTGATGAATTTTTGTTTTTTCATTGAGTGGGTAGAAAATCCAGAAATTTTGCTCAAGTAAGAGTAGAAATACTTAAAGTTACTCAAGTAAAACTAAAGTACAGTGTAATAACATTCCTAAAAGCACTTTTTCCCATAAAGTTGCTCATGTAAATGCAATTATTTATGAATTAACTGTTTTCTACAAATTATCCTCCTAATTGCACCAAAACAAATTAAAGTTATGTTGTTTTTACTTGTTTGATGAAACTTGTGAAGCTTAAGGTTTCCTTAAATGAGCTAAACTGGTGCAGAATTATCAACCAAATTAGAAATTCAGGACATTTATGTTTGTTTTTAAAAAAGTTTTTAATCAATTCAGCGCTGTTTTTCTATATCGGATCAGTATTGACTGATACTAAACCTCTGATATCTGTGAGACAAATGGCATTTCCCATTTCTGTGCCTCCCTAGAAATGTTTTTATTTGCTGCTGCTGCAGAGAAAGAGAATGATGATGTTACACAGTGATGATGTTCCGGCCGCAGCTTGTTAATAACATGTTGGGCAACATGATGAATCCCACATTAACAATCTGAATATTAGTCAGAAAATCTGAAGATGACGGTTTTGCGGTTAAATTGACCTTTAGAGATTCTGATGGAAAAGTTCTGATGGAATAGAACATTGTGTGGAAGGATGTGAATACGTGATGAAGAAGAATATAAAAACCACAAATGTCCTGTGTAAACTGGCTCTCACTCTCTGAGTCTTCAGGAAGCTGCTGCAGCTTCTTGAATAAAATTAGGATGAAATGCATCTGCAGTCAAAACTGATTCTATCATTAATTGGAAATGTGTCTCGTCTTTGAATAGGACAGTAACAGGTTGTACAGAAGCTTCTAACCATCAATAACAGTAGAAACAAATACTGTTAATTTAACACATTTTCCTAATTATTTTAGACATTCTACTTTCAGTAATTATTGATTAGTTTATCTGTTTTCTTCTGTTTAAACTCAACAGCTTCAATGCTCTAAATGTACGAATGGGGAATATATTGAACTTTATCACATTTTGTTGTTTATTGCAATAACAATATTTTAAAACAAATGTGAACTTTTTTTTTTTTTGCAACAGATTTTGGGGACTGTGCCTGAAAACCACTACAACTTATCAGAGCCTCACAAAAACTCAGTTATTAGAAAGTTCCCCATAATTTCATAGGCGACTTCAGGAGAGCTCAAACTTTTTGAGACCAAGATTTACTTTCTCTCTCAGTAGCCGACTGAGATCGACCTCATGACACGAAGACAGAACTATTGTAAATTAAACCCTATTGACTTATTTTCTAGACGAATATACATCAGTTATATCAGAAATAATAAATGATAGAAAACCTGATGCGTTTCTTCCTCAGTGAGATTCTGACTCTGGGAGCAGGTTACTGGTTTCTCAGTCAGTTCTGGTGGATCTGAACTTTGGTTTGATGACGTCAATATGAGAAACTGCAGTTTGATAGGAGGAACCAAAGAGATCTGCAGAGGTAAATGAAAATCTTCTGGATCTGGGATGTAATTAATTTAATTTCACATAATTATCGTGGTAGAAACCATTTGTTTGTTAAAACTTAAATATATTTGTCCTATTTGATGTTTGTTGTGACACGTTTACTGCAAACGAAGAGGTAATTAATCCAATATACTTCCTTACCCCAGTTATATTTGGTAGTGCAATTGTACTGCTAACTGCACAAAAGTGCATTCAAATTATTGAATATATTTACCCAATATATCCTGATTTATGTGATACAATCTGGAATTTTATAACCTGAAATAAGTCTTTAAAATGTTCATTAACAAAACATGTTGTAACCGAATCTGAGAAATATTTACACTTCATGTATAAAGTCAAGTTTTGTGTTTTATAAAAGGTTAAATAAATTATTTACCAGCATGGCCGACGGGTTTTTCCCACTAGAAAGCCTTTAACTGGTTTGATCCCAGTCCTCCCAGCTTGTTACTGTCCTGTGATAAATGTAGCCAAATAAAATAAAATGTAAACACAGGAATGTAAACATCATGTCCGTATCAATAAAGGTATCAGATTCTGAACAAATGGAGTTTGTAAGTAACTAAAAGGCATTTATTTCATATTTCTAATAAACCTGCTGCTGAGACCAGGTGTGGTGAAGCTTAATGGTTAAATAGCTCCACCTGCCGGCGCCATCGTGTCATAGCATTTTAAATTACAACACTGGAGACACTTCAGCTCTTAAAACTTGCTAAAATAATGTTATGAGGAAACTACAGACAATATTTATGAAACCTTCCAATGTTCTTAAATAAAATATATTTTTAGAGAAGCTTGTGTCTGAAAACCTCCCAGACTTTAAACTTATTAACCTTTTTCTGTCTGCAAAAGTGTGAAATTTTTATATTTTATTTTGTAGCAATAAGAAATGATTGCAGTGGCTTCATGCAGCTCTTTGTTTAATAGTAGATAAAAATTTGATCAACAAATTGTCAGGTTTTATAATCAAGAATAATTGAAAATACCTGATTAGAATTGTTAATTAATTACTCAAAGTTCATTCAAGTTAGATCCCCTTCATGATCTCTGCTGTTATTTATATTGTTGTTATATAAATTATCCTGTGGCTGTTAGAGAAGCAAAATGTGTGAAAACAATAAAGAGTCACAGACTGTCCATTTAATCAGAATATTTATTTAAATGTTGCAACAAAGATAAATATCGTTTCTTGATTCTGGATTTATTTTATACAAAATCTCAATAAATTAACTATAATCCACAAATTCACTGCCAATGTAATTTAAATTATCTCTATAATAAGCCACATTTAATCTAGAATCTAGTTTAGTAAAACTCATATATACAGATAAATTCAGTCGTTTATTTTCTGAGAAAACCAGGCAGATAAAAAACAGAGTAAAAACTGTTGAGCCTTCAGGACTTTAATAAACTCTGTAACATGGTTTAGTTTGTTTCTGTAAATTAGTTTTCAAAGTTTTATTTTTTCAGGCCATAAAACTAATTCAAATAAATATAAAAACTGATGTAGTTATAAGTTTAAATAAACTAGAATACCGAGTTATTCTATCTATACATGAAAATTGATCTTTAAAGATCTTTGTGTTTGTGGTTCAATAGAGTATTTGGACCACTGCACATAAATACAATGTCCCAAACTCATCATTAGTGTTTTTAACATGTTGCATGAATTTACAAAATATTACTTGTCAAAATAAAAAACTTGATATTATTAGAATGACATTTAAGAGAAACTGCAATAAACAATAAAAACTTGATCTTTATCATTTCAAGGATTTGTTACAACTTGAGAAGCAAAAGGATAAACAGAATGTAAAGATCCCACAAGCATTAAATAATCCAGCAGGTAATCTCACATCACTAATTATCAGATTAAAACAAATTAATCACAGAAGATAAAAATAAAATAACAGCTTATAATAATTTATTATTAATTTAGTATTTGTTGTCATATTGTCAGCTCAATGCTCCTGTTCATTACTTCATGTGTTCATGCAGCGTTGATCAGGGTTAAGAGTTGAAGATGAGACTGATGGAAACAGGAATCAAACCAACAACCTCGTTATTATGAGATGATGACTCTTATTTCCTCAGCTCAACCACAGCTGCTCAAACATTACAGTAACTAACTAGAAAATTCCTGAAGAAATTTAACCGGGGCCTGCCAAAGTGTGCCCGTCAGTTTGGACCCAGCGTTCTTATGCTAAACATTAGCATCCATGCTAAAGAAAGCTGCAATGTCATCAATACCATGTGGAGAGTCACAAGCATGACTTACTGCATTAAGTAAGGGAAATAGCGAATACCTCATGCAAGGTAAAAGGCTAATGCTAATGCTCTACCTTGCTGCGCAAGACAGTGCCCTAACTTGAGAGGAAAAGATAATGCAAGCTAATATCATTGCAGCGCCCGCGGCGCTGCATTAGCCACAGACGAATCTCAAGGCTTTATTTTGGAATTTTCAGAATGCTTAATTTTAAACGGTCAATGTAATCCATGTACAACAGTGATTTGGTTAAATCAGACATATAATGGTCAAAAAAGCACTTACTTAATATAAAAATTGTCAAGGCTTTTATTTTGAAATTTGTTTAAAGCTTAATTTAAAATTGCCAAACTAATTCCATGTGTAACAATGGTTGGTTAAAATGAGTTATAAAAGGCCCAAAACACAGGCAGTTCTAAAGTCCAGCTTTTTCCTCTGAGTTCTGCCATGTTAGAACTACAGTGATGCGGTTTTGTAGTCCTAACCACTGGCCCTGCTGTGCTCCGTTGCTATGGTAATGGATCCTCTGCCAGCTGTGAGTCAGACAGGGGGAGACAGAATTCTATCAGTTTGAGGCAGCCATTTTCACTAAAATAGGCATGAGCCAGAAAGGAATCTTAAGACATTTATTTTGAAATTTTCAAGCTTCATTTTAAATGTCCAAAATAATCCAAAGTTTTACAGTGGTGTATATAAAAAGTCACATAAAGCCCAAGAGAGCAATTACGTGATATAAAAGAATTTCAGGGCTTTTATTTTGAAATTTTCATTCAACTTAATTTAAAATTGCCACACTAATCCTGTGTGTAACAATGGTTGGTTAAAATCAGTTATAAAATGCCCAAAACACAAGTAGTTCTAAAGGCCAACACCTTCCTCAGAGCTCTGCCATAATAAAAACTACAGTGATGCGTTTTTGTAGTCCTAACCACTGGCCCTGCTCTGCTCCGTTGCTATGGTAATGGATCCTCTGCCAGCTGTGAGTCAGACAGGTGGAGACAGAATTCTATCAGTTTGAGGCAGCCATTTTCACTAAAATAGGCATGAGCCAGAAAGGAATCTTAAGGCTTTTAATTTGAAATTTTCAGTAAGCCTCGTTTAAATGGCCCCAATCTATTCACATGAGTAACAGTGATTGTGTTAAATCAGTTCTAAAATTCTCCAAACAGCAATTTATATAAAAATTGTCAAGGCTTTTATTTTGAAATTTTCATTAAGCTTAATTTCATTAAGATTAATTAAACTTAATTAACACTAATCCCATGTGTAGCAATGGTTGGTTAAAATAAGTTATAAAATGCCCAAAACACAAGTAGTTCTACAGGCCAGCTCCTTCCTCAGAGCTCTGCCATAGTAAAAACTACAGTGATGCGTTTTTGTAGTTCTAATTAGCTGCTCGGCCCTGCTGTGCTTCGTTGCTATGGTAATTAATCCTCTGCAACTGTCATGTGTGTGAGACAGAAAGAATTCTATCTTTGTGAGACACCCAGTCAGTTTTCACTGAAAAAAGCGGTCCAAAACAACTCCTTCCCGTTCGGAAACCGTGATACGTATCGGAAAACCGTTTGAAGCGTATGAGAGCGCTATCTTTCGTCTCCGATAGTCCCGCTATTCATATCTGTACATCACTCACATTAATAACAGCGACAAGATAAAAATGGTGTGCGCTGAGGTCTGACATTTTCAGAAATACATGGAAGTGATCCTGGCTGAGCGAGTCGAAATCCTGTCGCATCACTTTGCTCTGAAGCCCCTAGACAGAAAACCATAAGCCCTAGAAAAATTTTGAAAACATTTTACCGGAGCAGGCATGCGTATCTATGTTATGACCGAGTTTCATACCGATAGGGCGATATTTGTGGGCGTGACGGCGATTTCAAAATTTATTTGGGGTCAGAATCACACTGCTTCCCACACTCTAACGAAACGTTGATTACACTCTAGTTTGGGCAGTTTCTAACTGACAAAAATTTTTGATGGTTTTTCGCTTTTTACTTTTTTATCGTAACTCCGAATCCCACCAAAAGTAATAGCTCCAATGCCGGGAACGAGCCGCACGTTTTGATACCACTTTTGTGGGTGGGCTCGCAGCGGTACGAGCCGCATTCCGGCTGGCGGAAGAAAAATAAAGAATAATAATAAAGAGACATTCTATTGGGTGTAGATTAATAGGTGCCTGCCATGCAATGCATGGAGGCAGTTACTGACTTGCTTTGCAAGTCAGTAACTGCTCTCCTTATGCATTGCTAGGCAGGCCCCAATTACATGATCAAATAATGTTTATTACTGGAACAGATTTTATTCATTAAAATCAGGGTTTAATCAGCTGTGATGAAATCATCACAGACATTATCACTGTGTAACACACGTCTCCTCTTTCCTTGAACCTCTTGGATTCATGTCTGGATTTTCTCTGAGCAGTCGTTCCATTTCTTCTCGGTTGGCTCTTTCTGCCGCTCTGAACATTTCATTGGTGTAGAAACTTCCTCCATTTCTCTGAACCATTCTGTTGATCTTTTCCACCAGTCCACCAACTTGAGCAGAATCCTTAACTGTGTTGTCAAAAACATGATATTTATCTTCAAATTTCTCCAAGATGGAGCACTGACTGATGAAGTGCTTTAGAGGTTGGGATGTTTCTAACAGGTTTTCTATCTTAAAGTTTTCCATTTTCAGCTCATCTCCATGAGTAAACAGGATCATGGTGTATCTGGCAGCTTCTTCTCCAAACATTGTCTTAATAATTTCCACTGTTTCTTTTTCTTCTGCTGTGAATCTGGCCGGTTGGAGAACAATCAGGAACACATGAGGACCAGGAGCCACCATGCTGATGCATCTAGCGATTTCCTTCTCAATCTCTTTATTACTCTTATCTGTATGAAACAGACCTGGAGTATCAATAACAGTCAGATTTAGACCAGCAAACTCACAGGTTTCCTTCTCACAGGTCTGTGTCACAGAGGAAAGAGAGAGTTCAGACTCAAAAGCTTTTCTCCCTAAAATGGTGTTTCCTGATGCACTTTTGCCGACTCCAGTTTTCCCAAAAAGAACAATCCTGAGGTCTCGTGCCTTTTCAGCTGTTGAAGAATTAGAAAACAACAATACATTGAAAGAAATCCATTACAAAAGAATTTGTTATGATTAGATTTAATGATGTCAAAGAAAATTAAGTAGATTACAAAATTCTAAAAATAACTATAAAAAACTAAAGGAAAAATAATACTTTTTAAAAAACTTTGCCAATCATCCTCATGTAAGAAAATTTATTTTGGTTTTCAGGTGACATGTTATAAAAACATTTATAGTGTTGTAGTTTGGTATGGTTCATCAAACCAACACACATATAATAGATAAGTATTTAAAATAGATCTTATAGATCAGCTAATAATCAAGTTAATATCCTTTCATGAATGACAACACCTGAAATTAAGCTGAGTCAGCAATGTATTGCAAACAGCAGTAAGCAGAAATAGACAGCGCATCATCTGATCAAAAGTTTAAAATCAAAGCATTTCAAAGCTTCACTAAAATGTGGCTTCAATATAATTTCACAGTTATAAAAACATGAAATCAACACTGTTATAATCTGATGATAAAACATCTTTTCTCATTGAATGTGCTCTAAAGCCTCCATTATTTCTCAAACTGATTGAAGAGTTATGGAGGCTTTGGAGCGAATCTGCTGCAGCTGCATCAGGCCTGACACAATAAGTAATGAAATAATCACATGATAAATTAAAACAGCTCAATAATTTCCTTTTGCATGATTTATCATTTTTCTCTTTCTTTCTGTCAAAAACTGGACGACAAAAGGGCTTTTGTCTTAATAGCTCTTTTTTTGAAGGGCAGTTTTGTTTTCAAAATGTTTTCATGATTCATTTTATTTGTTGCTTTTGTTGTTTTATTTTGAATATTAAATGTCTTAACACTGTTAAATAGCATTTATCAGTGTTAAATGTTATGTTAAATTACTATTCTTATCATTAACAACACATAAACAATATCATCATTTATTGCAATAACTTCTGGGACAATTTATCATTCAGCAAAATGTGTTTTTGTGACAGATAGGCCTGTCAGAATAAGACATTTTGCTGAGCGATTGTCTCATAAATTATTGCTATAAACGATAATATTGTTTGAAGACCTTTTTTGCACTGATTTAATGGGAATTATGTAATAAATCATGTCAAAGATAGATACACTTTATTTTCAAAAGAACACTTAACACTGGAACTGATAAACAAAATAAATAAAACAACCAAAAACAAAAATAAAATAGATTCTCAGTCTCTATTAACAATAAATGTATTTGAATAAAAAGTAAACAGCATAAAACCAAAGTGGAAATAAACACTGCATTCAACCAAAAGAGTGCAGATTATGAAGTCTGTATATTATATTGCCCTTCAGTAATAATTAGATTTAAATAGAGAAGAATCCGACTGAATGATGCAAAAGTTCAAACTACAGGATTTTTTGCTCCGATTTCCTGAACCCTTCAAATTTATCCAGGATGGAGGAATGACTGATGCAGAGTTTTAGAGGCTGGTGTTTCTCTATCATGTCTTCTATTTTAATGTTTCCCTTTTTCAGCTTCTTTGAGAATCTGTTTTTGAATTATTATGGTATTACCTGTATTTGAATTTAAAGTGATCTCAAAACAATATTATTGTTTATAACAATATCTTAAGGGACAATTTATCATCCAGCTGAATTCATTATTGTGGCAGGTCTAAATCACAGCAGGCGTTTCCTCCCACTGAGTGTTTTCTGGATCTGGTAGCTCTTCATTCAGAGTCTTGGAGATTTCTGATCACTCAAGTTGAAGAAATATTTCCTGATTTCAAAATTTGTCACTGCAGAGAATTTAAATATATTCATCTCCAGGATGTGTGATGACACCATGTGGTTTATTGTTTCAGCTTATTGAATAAAACCAAATTAAAATAAAATGTAATTAAATGTGTCACTATTATCATTTTAAAAACTGATGGATGAATATAGATTATGATGGGATTTTTTCACCAATCAGTCAAAATGATGGACAACAAAAAGGTCTGGCCGAGTGCAATCTCTGGAAGTTATTTTATACTTCTAAACTTATTTACTTACTTGATTTTCATTTATTTGCAGATGTTGTGGTGATAAAATCTATTAAAATGACAGTGATAATTAATAATATTGATTTTAGGCCATTAGCTCAGTCCTACCTGCAACAGCAGCTCTGAACAGTCGTTCCATTTCTTCTTGTTTGACTCTTTGAGTCTTTTTGAATATTTTATTAGTGTAGTAACTTCCTCCATTTCTCTGAACCATTCTTTGGATCTTCTGCAGCAATCTGCTGACTTCAACACTATCCTCAACTTCGTTTCCAAAAACATGATATTTATCTTCAAATTTCTCCAGGATGGAGCACTGACTGATGAAGAGTTTTAGAGGCTGGTGTTTCTCTAACATCTCTTCTATTTTCATGTTTCTCTTGTTCAGTTCGTCTCCATGGGTGAACAGGACCATGGTGAATCTGGCTGCTTCTTTGCCAAATGTTTCCTTAATTATTTCCACTGTTTTTTCATCTTCTGCTGTGAATCTGGTCGGTTGGAGAACAATCAGGAACACATGAGGACCAGGAGCCGCCATGCTGATGCATTTACTGATCTCTTTCACAACCTCTTCATTACTGTTTTTAGTCCCAAACAGACCTGGAGTATCAATAACATCCAGATTTAAATGACGAAAATCATCAGTTTTCTTCTCACAAACTGATGTCACAGAACAAAATGAAGGATGAGACTCAAAAGCTTTTCTCCCTAAAATGATGTTTCCTGCTGCACTTTTTCCAACTCCAGATTTTCCCAGGAGAACAATCCTGAGGTTGGTCTTTTCTGCAGCTGAAAGAGAATTAGAAAACAACAATAAACTGAGAAGCATTTTTATTCAGATAAATATCAGTTACATAATGATTTGTTATAGTTAAGTATATAAATATGAAACCACACATCCTGCTCAACTTGCACAAGTTTATTGTAAACTTTCAAAAGTGCCAACACCAAGAAGCAGGATGAAAACATTTGTCTCCTCCATGTCAGTGACACTGGTGCAAAACCTGCGTTTTATGAGCTGCTGCTTGACATTTAAAACTTTTTCCCATCATTTCTGTTCAATGGGAGCAATGACTGTCATGTTATGTCTGTTTACAAATTATAGTCCAAAAAAGCACAATGTGAAAATAAAACACATCAACTGGAAAAAATCCAGTCCATTTGTGATCTGGACCAAACAAGCGGACCAAAGAACTTTCTGGCTGTGAATTCACCTCAAATTAATGGTTAATTTGTTTAGTGTTGCTTAGATTAATATGTACAACATTCATTAATTCTAGTCTGGATTACAAAGTTTCACCACTTCTCTTTATTTTTCCAGTGTAACATAGAAAAGCTTTTCTTGTGTCATCTTTTTATTATGTAAAGCATTTTCAATTGCATTGTTGCTGTGTTACGGCCCAAGGCTATTCCTTTGGGGTTTAGCATCCCTGCTCCAGATCTTCTCATTGGTGCTGATTGGAAGTGGAGGCAGCTGGCCAGTGTCTCCATGAATGACATCAGATCAGCTTAAAATGCACCACCTTTTTCTCATCAATCCAGCCTTTTTCTTTCTGTCTGTTGTTAAGAATTAAAAAGAGGAATAACTTGATTTAGCTTGTTAATTCATTCCTCTTTTTCCGAATTCCTGTGTCTCTATATATGTGCAGGGAGAAAGAGCAATCATACGACGTCAGACTTCAGATATCCAGAGAAAATCAATGCAAGAAGAATGTTACAATAAGCATCTCACCTAGATCATCAAAAGTCCAAGACATTACAAAACAGAAACAATTAACTGAGTAAAAAGGGAAATAAAAACACAAACAAAAGATGCATCTTCTGGGAAACTCTCACTCAGCACAAAGAGATTCAAACTTCTGCTGTAAAACAAACCATTTTATAAGAATGTGTATTCCCTTCATTTAAATATATGCATTAGGAGGTGTGTTTTTCCTTTGTGTGGGCTGTCTTAATGTTAATTTTATTACCTCTGAGACCCACTGAAACACCCAGCTCTTCTCGTACCAGGCTCCTTTAGGCGATCTGATTTACGGCGTGGATCTGGAGCGTTATCTCTGCCTCAAAATGCTTCAACAAGAAACCAGTTGGTGTTTTTTAAACAAACTCGCACAAAATCTATTGCTTAATACTAACTATAAGTTGGATCTAAAACTAACTAATTAAAAACATGCTTTTTAATGCTTAAAGAAATATATTAATATGTTTGATATGTTGTAACGGACTTCTATAGTTTTTAATGTTTGCCTGAACTATTCAACCCTGAGTAAAGAATTTATTGCCCTGATAGCCAATACACTCCCTGTCTGAAATGTTCCTTAAGGAGTATTAGACTGCTTTTTGATTAGAAATTTATGTAAGTTCAGAGAGTCACCAGTTGTCTTAGTTTGGATTTGTATCTAAGTTTATCTTAATGTAAACGTTAACTTGTGTACTATTGTGCTACTTTAAAATTCTATTTCAACACTGTTCACTTCTCCTCTTTTTTTCCTTTCCTCTCCAACCAGCTATGATTTTTGTTAAATAAATTCTATTTTAAGTTATCCCATGCGTTGCTTCCTTTAATTTGTTATGGTACCAGAGCCAGACCATAACAGCTGAAATACGCTACACAAATAAACTTGACTTCTATGACAGTTATTCATTCCCCCATTAAACCTGCTGAGCTCAATGGTAGAGTCACTAGGGCCCCTATCATTTTGTTTTTGTGTTAATGTTGAAAGCTAAAAAAATAAGTGCAAGAACAGGCGCCATAATTTTGTTATTATTTTAAAATACACAAACAATGCGTAGTCTGGTGGGGCATCTGGGCAACTAAAGCCTGGTGGCCCTTCAGACTTATAAAACACTGGCAAAAACTGATTTAAGTTTAGCATTTATTTATTCATCTTTTTATCATCTGTAATTTTAGATTTTGAATTATTTGAATGATACAAATAATTCAAAAACATAAAAAACATTTTAAACCAAAATTAAATTCAAAGTTCCATTTTCTGGTGCAACTCCCATGTTCTTGTACTGCTGGTTTGTTTAGTTTCATGTTAAAAATAAAAAAGAAAGAAAAGCCGCTGCTTTACTTACCATAATCAGTGGATGTTGATGACACATCCATGGTTCAGAAACAGCAGCATAAAAATTTACTGCTGCTTGTTATGATGCAATCTGAAATGAAAAACAAGTTTTAACAAACTGAACCGATTCTCTGCATGTGCTGAGTGTCACATGAATATTTAATGTTTTTGAGATACCTTTATGAAAACCATACAGTGTTTTCAAATAATACATTTTAATTTATTTCACTTAATTCTGGGTTTTATTCTTCTTTACTAAACAGCCTGTCAATATCTTTTGTGGCTCCTGTTTCCTCTGATTGGTCCTTATAACTTTAGTCTGGTAACTATTTATTTAACCTGTAAGCTGTCATTGCCTTTTGCTTTGAAATAACTTAACTCAGAGTTTCCTTGTTGATGATGATGTTCTGGAAGAAAAAACTCAGATTATCTCACAGATACTATTACGAAGCTGAAGTTGGTTTGGCTAAAGGGCGATTCCACCTAATTTTTCACTACTTTCCGCATTTTTAAATGACTCTAGTTTAAAAACTGCAACATCTAGACTCTCCAAACCGGGATGGGATTATTCTGCACTAATAGCAGAATATTTATAACCATGTTTGGGATTTATAAAACCTTTTTCTAATTTGTGAAACTTCACTAATGTTTATATATTCACACTTGTTCCATGCAGTTTCTTTCAAATTCAAAGTCAATTCTAATTCAAAACCACTTTATTGATCCCACAAGGAAATTAAATGTTGGTGCAACTCATTAATTCTTCAAAGAGTTACTGCAGATGGCGATGGCTGCTGGAAGGAAAGATCTTCTGCTGTGGTTTAAGTGAAGTTTCACAACTCAGAAAGAAAGTTTCACAAACTCAAACATGGTTTTAAATATTCAGTCCAGGTTTGAAATGTCCAGGTATTGTAGTTTTTAAACTAGAGTCGATTAAAAATGAGAAGGTGAAAAACTAGGTGGACTCGCCCTTTAGCCATTTGGAAACCAACTTGAGCTTAAGGAACTGCATCTATAATTTGCTTAACCTGCTTTTGAAACTGAGCCCCGGTGTTAAATAAAGCAGGGAAAATCAGACTGTCTTGAATTAAAGCACTGAAATGTATAAACACTGATTAGACGGTTAATACAGCATCTCTAGACCAGTGGAGTAAATAGATCGTCTAATGTGGATAAAGGGAACACTAGATAGGAAATTTAAATAATAATAATAATAATAATAATAATAATAATAATAATAATAATAATAATAATAACAACATAACTATCATTTGCACCTTCACTGTCTGCAACGCAACACTGTTGATCAATAAATCAGCTTAAATTATTTTCTTACCAAAGTCACTGAAGAGGATCTGTCGCTTTGCTTCAATCCAACTAAACAGAAACAACTTGATGAAAAGCGAAAGTCCACCTGGCTGCAGAAAACAGGAAGAGACCGGACCGGACCGGACCGGACCGCTGTCAGTCTCAGACTTTATTTGGAAATGGGACCATTGCACTCCGAAAGTAAAGGGGGCGCTATTTTCTATATTATTTGCGGCCTCTCGTTTTCATTTTCTTTTGACATCTGTGATTTATTTTCACATTTGGGAAGGATTTTCACTCTCAGCATGTACTTAGATTTCTCTCTTATTTACTTCAGCGCAACTCACAATTTTTAACAAATTCAGTAGCTTTCTGTGTACTTCTAAATCTCTTTTCGGGCCTGCTACTGCCTCTAGTGACGTGGGGGTATTAAAACAACTAATCTAATTACATTACTAAATCAGAGTACCACTAAGTATTTATTACTTACTACTATTCATTTCGGCATTACTGTAAAATATAAATTGTCTTATAGAACACCTTCTTCTTATTATTATTGTTGTTTTCTTAAGGAAGCAGAGCTAAGTAATGAGATAAACAAAGTGATTCCAATTTCACTTAATGGCCAACTTGTTGAAACTGTGGAAAATGTTTAATTCCTTATGTTGTTCCTGGACAGCCAGCTCAACTTTAGTGAAAACACTTCCTATATTCTATAGTCAACAATCTCTAGTTAGGTAGAGGTTGTTGAGTTAAAATGTTAAAACTTAATGTTCTAACTTAAGTTTTAACTCAACTCAAATTATAACAACATTTTAACTCAAGTTGTAACTTTTTATCTCCTTGGCTGGTTTGGTCACATGAGCTGCATACTAACAGACAATATTTTAAGAATATTTTCAATGGCAGATATAACAGCAGGTAAAAAGTGGTGAAACCAAAAACAACTCTGTCGCAACTGTTGGAAAGAACACAGAAGATGGCAAGAAATATTTTAGCAGAGAGCATCCATCCTCTTTATTCATCAGTTTGAACCTCTGAGTTCATGAAGGTGTGACTATTTTCCTCTGGCAACTAAGAACATCTATTAGAAGTAATTTATTGAAAGTGCAATAATTATTCTTAGCCAAACTAAATGATATCATTTACCTACAGAGTGCTAAGTGTTTTGCTCTATTCACAAATTGTTGATAATGTGATTAAATGAATAGGATTTGTCTTTTTAGAGTCGTAGTCAAAAATTTCCACCTTGATAGACTAAATAGTTTCATCTTATTTTTTCCTATATATAAGACTCTACCAACAAAAAGTCTCTCAGAATAATATACATGACACAATAAAAACAAAAATGTGATTATTTTTCTTGTATCAGTTTAACAACCCTGGTTGTAACAACCTGTACCTAAGTAATTTGTTTGTTATTGACTGTTGCTCAATTTAATTTCTTACGTATACATTGCAAATGGAATTTTTTGTTTATCATGTTGTTTATCGTAATTATATTAGATACCACCTCCACGCCACTAGAGGCAGTAGCAGTCCCAAAAATATGTGACTAAGGAGCAGATTTAGAAATACACATGGAGCTACAGAATTTGTTAAAAACTGCAGTAAATTTAAGAGAGAAGTTTAAATACACACAGAGAGTGAAAATCCTTCCTAAAGGTGAAAATATGTCACATTCATGGGTCAAGGTCAAATGCTCACCTATATTTTATGGAGAGTAGATAATATTTTCTGCCAGGTAAAGTCAGCCATGCAAAGAAGGCAAAGAAGATAGGCAAAATATTTTGAACGAGTCGTACTTCAGGTCCAGGTTTCCTACCTGCTGACCCGAGTTAACAGAATGATCCAACAGTTCCTCTATATGACCTAGCTAAGAAGACGTCTGTTGTGATGGATGTTTCCATTCCCAATAATGGAAACATTATGAAAAAGGAATATGAGAAACTGGAGAAATATCGAGGGCTCAGCGAAGAGCAAGGAAGGCCTGTGGGAAAAATAATCTATAAGATTGTCTTATGTCTGATTATTATTATTTTTTTTTCCAGGTAAGTTGGTGGAAAATAAAGTCTTATTTTCAACAACAATCTGGCCAGGAAGTGTCATACAGCAGAAAACAGAAAATACATCCCAATGCTCACTAAATATACTTTATCACCATCAGTCAACTGAGTTCAAAAGCAGATGTATTGGAGACATATTATAGATTTTCCTGAGATGATGAAAGTTGAGGCTGAAGTTTAAGTATCAAGCTTCAATGTTTTTTTCCCCCCCAAGCATAAAAGCTTTAGGGGAAGCTTTAAAGGGAACATTAAGGGAACATTAAGGGAACTGTCTGATTTAACGTTAAATCAGTTCAATGAGAACTGATGTTTATTAAAGGATATTAAATGATAAATATACAAAAACCATGAGGTAGCTCAGCTGGTAGGTGAACATATTCTATGTTTGTTGGATTTATTGTTTTGGTCTTATTGTTGTTTTCTAATTATTCAACAGATGAAAAGAAGACAGATCTCAGGATTGTACTTCTTGGAAAAACTGTAGTTGGGAAAAAGTGCAGCAGGAAACAACGTTTTAGAGGATAAATTGTTTCAGTCTAAACTCTCTCTTTATCAAAGGGCCCGGTACCCCATACTTCCTGAGAACCCCCCACAGGGCACCATGACAGACACGGTCGAATGCCTTCTCCAGGTCCATAAAACACATGTGGACCAGTTGGGTGAAATTTCATGTCTCTTATTATTATTTTAAATCTCAGCTTCTTGTCACAGTTCTGGTTAGGTTGGTCAGACAGGTTAACTACAAAAATATGTATGTACCATTACTTCTATGTTTTGTTTTTGTATAAACTTATCTGGGTTCTGATAAAGATTTTTACTGACTGGGTTTCTGTCCTCTGCACGACATTCATCCATCTTGAGGATGAGAGAGATGATCTTTACTCTGCAAAATGTAAATTTGGCAACTATGTCAACTACATGTGTTGATCAAATGTATTTAACACAAGAGAATAGAATAAATTACAAGATTCTTTATTGTTCCATGTCAATAACAGCAAAAAGCAATGACAGCATACAGGTTCAGACACTAAGACCATATCAATTGTAAATAACAGTCAATGTCAATCGTTATAACTAAAAGTTATAACAACCAATCAGGAAAAACAGGAGCCACAAAAAGGTTTGATTGGCTGTTTAGTAAAGAAGAATAAAGCCCAGGATGAAAGGAAATGTAATTGAATGAAATATGAAAAAAACAGTCAGGTGACACTGATGACAGAGGACCAGATCAGTCCATTAAAACTCGTTTTTTATTGCAGACTTCATCATAACAAACCTCAGTGTATTATTGAACGCAATTGCTTTGTTGCTGAAATGAAATAAATTCTGATTTCAGTTTAGCATTTATTTGTTCTTTTGTATTTGTTATAGGATTGTGTTTACATGTTTAGGCTTTTACATTCTTAAGTTTTTATTATTTTAATGAAACTGCTTTTTTTTCCTCGACGTTGTGTGTTAAAATGTGTTGATTACGCCAGAACTCGTCTGCCGCTGGCATTGGTGTTGGAGCTTATTAGAATGAGATTATTTTATTATTTACAAAATTATTAATGTTACTGATCCAAGGTAATGATAGTGGTACATCTATTGTTATTTATTTACTTTGCGTAGGACAGGCCCTCCACCTGGTCAGTCAGCCTCCTGCTGTGATTAACAAGCAGAAGCAGCTGCTGTGGTTGGTCTGATTGGTTGGTGAAGAAGTGAGGAGTGAAACAGTTTTTCTACCACAAAATCAACATTTATATTTACTCTTTTGTATGAAGTCAACTCAGAGAATATTTCTTTTTCTGTTTATAAGTAAAAAAAAACAAAAACACTCTCCTTAATTGAACTTTCAGAGTTTGCACTAGACCTTTTTTATTTCAGTCATTTTGGCTGACAGGATGAAAAAAATCCCATCATATTCTATATTTACCTGACAAATGTTAAAATTATGACATATTCAATTGCATTTAATTTTCATTTGGCTTTGTTCAGCTGAAACAAGAATCCACACTTACTCACACACTAAGCATAAGAGCAGATGCATCTTCTTCTCTGCAGTGACAAATTTTTAAATCAAGACGTTTTTCTTCAACTGAAGTGATTAGAAGCAAAAACTTCATTAATGAACGAGAATCTATCTGATCTATAAAACACTTAGCAGGAGGAAATTCCCACTGTGATTCAGTGTCGGCTTCTCACAAAAACACATTTTAGGATAATAATGCAACATGTTCTCAAATACCAATAAACATTAAAGTCTAGTGAGTATTTAATCCCAAAACTGGGAGACATTTTAAATGTTCAAAATAAACAAAACAACATAAACAATAAATAAAATGAATTATGAAATCTGTAAACAAAACTGTTCTTCAAAAGAAGCCTAGTTGAGACAAAATCAGCAGATTGAAGACTTTTATCATTCGGCTTCTGGTAGAAAGAGAGAAAATGGAAAAATAATAAATCAGGCAAATGGAAAATATGGAGCTTGAATGAATGAATTATTAATATTTATTAATTTCAGAGGAAAATTCACATATTTTATGACCACCATCCAAAACAACATATAAACAAGTTTCAGGTATAACAAATAGACAAATGTCTGAGGCTGCAGCTTTTAAATGGGGAAGCAGCAACATTTAATAAAATGGAAGGAAAACATCATAATCCCACACAGTGAGAGGCTGTAAAAAACATCTGCACATATAACACATTGCCAGTGAAGGCAGTGAAGGCAGGGAGTGTGTGTTTATGGCCATGAGATGTGTGTGTATGCGTGCCAGGGTAAGTCTGTGAACCCTGAACAGTCAGGGTTCACATTGGGACACTGTAAAACATTTACAGGTGGTTAAAGTTGAAATTGAAAGTGCACCTGCTAACTTAAAAATGTAACTTAAATCAACAAGAAAAGTGTTTTGGTTGTAACTCAGAAATTAAAGTTTATGAAGTTGAATTAACAACAAGAGACAAGTTGTTTAAACATTATTTTTTTAACTTTATTTATCTTGAATTGTGAGTTTTAACTTAATGCTGCAATTTAAACTAAATAAAACAAACTGCCTTCACTTAAAGAGCCACGTTTCTTTATCATGTTATTCACAATATCAAGTTAAAATAAATACTTATTTTACTTTAGGATAATTTAAATTCTTGCAAACCATTTTAATTTATATGTAGATTATGCCTATTAAGACAAATAGAAAAAAGTTTAATGCAGAAAAAATAGTGTAAAGTATTTTTAAAAATCTTTTGAGGCTTAAAACTGACAACATACGAGGAGAGTTAAGTTTAAAATGCAAGTACTTTTGGCTGCTCTGCCAACAATTACCCAAATCTGGGATCAATAAAGTACTTTTTTATCTCATCTTATGTTTTCTTCTTATCCCTTTGGACTTTAATTCAAGGTCAGAGATCTGTGTTATTTGCCGGGCTGCGACTTGTTACCTCCTGCGTTATCAGTGAGATAACAGGAGGAGAACTGAGACATTAATGTCATACAATAAAATAAATGTAATAAAATGATAGCATGCATATATAGTAAAACAACTTGATGTGATATTGTAGATCTCATGTAATGAATAAAATCAGTTAAGATTTGTTTTTCCCTTTTGACAAATACCCTGTATTTCACTTCAAAACGTCAACACTTAGTTTTTATTACTTGCAAACTGTGGAGCACTTATTACTTTTACAAATTCAGAGCACACTTAAAAAGTCCAGATAATACTTACTTACACTTAACTAGCAACCCTGAATAGGAGTATGTAGTTTATTCACTTTGGATCAACATTATTAGTATTTTCTTCTTTTGCTCTTTCCTTTGGTTTGTTATTTTGTTTGTATTTCTTTTTTTATTCAGAAAAGTGTTTTAGCAAGGAGTAAACAGCAAACGGTTAGTTCCAGTAACAGGATCACGTGATGCAGAGCCATCAAAAAACAGCACTAAGTCAGGGTTAGTTAGTTTTGCTTAAATCAGGTCTGTGTGTGCAAACTTGTTCCAAGACTCCCTCACAATGATGAGCTTCACCATCATCAGGAGTCGACAAAAGAGTTGCTGGATTAAGAACATTGAAACGTTTCACAGTGACATTATCTCCAAAAGAACAGATGTATATTGTAGCCAACATGCAGCAGAAAGATGGAACTTTTCTGCTCCAAAAGTATGATAGAAACAGAGGTTTTTGAAACGAGATGATCTTAAAGGTAACTTCTTCCTCGACAAATGGGAGCGAATCTAAGCTTGCCTTCAGTGCAGCATTATAGATAATGGGGCTGTCACAAAACCCTTGACACAAACACGTAAAAGTCCATAATTTTCCCTCAAGTTCAAAAGCAAACCAAAACTGACTTTTTGGATCCACAGGAACAGAGAAAATGCATTTGAAATATCCACCACTGACAAAAACTGCATTTGAGGGAATCTGAGAAAGGTTGATGTGAGGATTTGGCGTTACAGCCACACGTGGTAAAAATTATGTATTTACTAATTTTAAGTCTTGCACAAATCTCCATTCCTGTCGTTTTCCAGGTTTCTTTACTTTTTTCACAGGAAACATTGGTGAGCGAACTGGAGAATTATCACGGGGAACAATGATGCTGGCTTTTTGTAGAGCTTCAAAAACTGGTTTTATGCCTTCAACAGCTTCAGCTTGAGGTGATGCTGATTCTGACATGGACAGAAGTCAGATTTCAGAGTAACAACAACTGGTTCACAACCCTTAATTAGACCTTCATCATATTTGCTTTTATCCCAAAAATCCTCAGGAACTTTAAATAGCGCTTTGGTAGTGAAGACAGATCTGTGTGAGATAAAAAAACATGCTCCAAAATTTAGGTCTGTGGTTGGGATCAATTCCACAGTATTTTGACAGAGCACTGGTGTCATGGTTGAAGCTACACGCTTGACCCACATGCAGACGCACAAACAAGGAGAAGCAATTTGGTAAATGAATAAAATTTATTGGATCAAAAAATAATAAAGAGTTTGTGATGTGTCTCGGAGGGGGGGCCTTGGGTTAGGGTTGTCTCAGCGATAAATCAGGGAAAGAAGTGGTAAGTGTAAGAATACTGATAACCAACCGGGTTCAGGAACGGGCTTACTGGTGAGTATGAAGTCTCTGCAGGGAAGGGGGGTGTCTGACAGGAGGAGGGGTCCGGTCCGGATCCAGTGGTTGGTGGCTGATGGATTTGTCGTTGGAGGGCCGGCAGGTTGAGAGCGGGTTTCGGCCAGTCTCGGCGGTTCTCGAGTCAGACTAGAAGGTCTCAGGAAGTGCTTCTCCACAGCTGGAAACCCTGTGAGGAAATATATAAGAAATTATCTCAGGCTTGCTTGAAACTCGTGCAATAAGACACCGACACTAGGTTCAGTGGGGGCTCTGAGCACCATTGGAGGTTAACACTCAAGCGCTGGAGAACCGACCGACCGCCCGCTCTTCTTATGCTGGCGGTGATGATGTTGATTACGCACAGATGCGCAGGATCCACCCTCCAACGACTGCCAACCTCTGGTTCCATCTGGTGGAAAAGAAAAACGTTCCCCACCCAGCCTAGCGCCAACACCCGACAACTGGACAATGAAACAATTGTTTATATACTGACATTCACTCAGAAAACATCGTATTTGGGTCAACAGGTGAAATGATCCAATCAGTTTCATTTTTACACGCACAAATAAATGACCCCAAATTATTCCAGGATCACACCCCCACACAAGATGCTTCCCTGGGCAGTTGCCCTTGTCACCCATATCAGAAATTGTGCCTATTTCTGACTGTAACTGCATCGGCAGACAGATTAAAAGGGAGGAGTCTGACTATAAAACCAGACTATAAAACAGCATCAACATAAAAAGTGAAACCATTTCTACCAAGAAAGAAACCAAACAGCCACAGATCATCACAGATCATAACAGATCAATTCCCTGCCAGAAGACAGACAAGATGTCCAAACACAGAAATAATAAACGCGGTAAGAAGAGTTTATGATTTTATACATTATTATCTCTAGAGGCAAACATTATTTACCAGCAAAATATAAAATGAAAAAAAAAATGTAGAGCTGGTACTGATACCACATTTTATTGATCAGTGATCATGTCTGGGTCTTTGTCGTTTATCAGGGAACCAATAAGCTTCTTTAAAATGACTGACATGATGCTTGGAGTCTTTTCTCCACTGAAGCTGCTGGTTCAGAGCAAACAGTGGAGAAAAGCTGCAGGTGTATTTATACAGGTGAGCAGATGGACTGAACTCTGCTGGGCTTTAGATGAGCAGCTTTAAGGATGAACAGGAAAATAAATTTCATTTCTTCCTGGTCGCCACTAATGTGAGGCGTTACACACCTGGTGATGTTTCTGTGTGATGAATGAAGGTGTTAAATCCTGTCGCTATTATTGCTGAACACAAAGCTATAAATGTCTGGGCAAGGTCAGAGGTCATCTATTAAACTGACTGGAGATGAAAACATGAACCAAAAGCTGGAGAATAGTCAGTTTTATTACAATATTTGTGAGTTTACCTCTTTATTATTAAATTGAATATAATTTCAGATTTTTTGTATAACTTTTCTTCAGGTTAATTTGGCCATTTTTTTTTTAACTTTGACATGACTATGTGATTTTACTTCATTGAATAATTTCTTGTTGTTTTAACTGTAAAACACTTTAATCCTGAGCTGATCGTCTTAATTGGCTTAATGTTACATCTCTGTAATATGGAAGAGAATTATTATTATTCAACATTTTACTGTGTCCAATATTAAATTATTTTTATTATTACAGGTAATACTGGAACCAACATAATAACAGAAATAATGTATTAAAATTTGGTCAAAGTGAAATCAGACAGAAAATATGTGACCTCATCAGAAAAGGGCTGGTAACAAAATAGACATTTAAAAATATAATGTATGAATGTGAAAGGATATAAACTGATCTATAGACAAAAACCAAGAGGAAGAAAAACTTGTGTATTAAATAATCTGTAAATTGATTCTAATCATTATTGATGTCCATAAAAATATTCAGTAACATCTATTGGTTATAAAAGCATTTAAAGAAACTATTAGCTGAAGCTTGAAACACATTTTAATAACTGTAATAATAATAATGATGGTCAAAGTTTATAAAAATAGTTTTTCTACGTTATTTATACTTTTCTTCCAGATTAATGAACCTAATCATGAACATATTATTGTGTAACTGACATCATTAAAACCCTTTTTAGTGGAGCTGCAGCGTAAAGCACAATCCTCACATGGAGCCTCAGTTCTCCACACAGACGTCACAAGTTCAAGTCTTGACCTCATGACCTTTGCTGCATGTCTTCCCTCTTTCATTGCCCACTTTTCTGTCTAATTACTCTCTAGATAAAACCCATATGAGCCAAAAAATAATTTTAAAATGTTTTAGTTTCTACTTTAAAGTAATTTAAGTAAAAACTGATTTTGGTTTATTGTTGTTTCTAATTCTTCAACAGCTGAAATGGATCCAGACCTCAGGATTGTTCTTGTTGGGAAAACTGGAGTCGGCAAAAGTGCAGTTGGAAACACCATTTTAGGGAGGAAAGCTTTTGAGTCTATAGCTTCTCTTTCCTCTGTGACACAGACCTGTAAGAAGGAAACCCAGGAGTTTTCTGGTCTAAATCTGGCTGTTATTGATACTCCATGTCTGTTTGATAAAAAAAAGAGTAATGAAGAGGTTGTGAAAGAGATCACTAGAGGCATCTGCCTGGCGGCTCCTGGTCCTCATGTGTTCCTGATTGTTCTCCAACCGACCAAATTCAAAGGAAAAGAAGAAAAAACATTGGAAATAATTAAGACCATTTTTGGAGAAGCAGCAGCCAGATACACCATGGTCCTGTTTACCCATGGAGATGAGCTGAAAAAGGCAAAAACTAAAATAGAAGATCTGTTAGAAACATCCCAGCCTCTAACACGCATCATCAGACAGTGCTCCATCCTGGAGAAATTTGAAGATAAATATCATGTTTTTGACAACAAAGATAAGAATCCTGCTCAAGTCAGGGGACTGGTGGAAAAGTTCAACAGAATGGTTCAGAGAAATGGAGGAAGTTTCTACATCAATGAAAGGTTCCGAGAGGCAGAAAGAGCCATTCAAGAAGAATTTAAACGACTCCTCAGAGAACATCCAGACATGAATCCTCAAGATGCAAGAAGACGGGCAGAGAGAGACAACGCATTTATCCACGATGTTGTGGGGGCTGCTGCTGCAGGAGGCGTTACTGGAGCAGCTGCTGGAGCTGCTGTTGGTGCTATTGGGGGACCGATAGGAATTGCTATTGGAGCTGTTGTTGGCGCTGCTGTTGGCACTTTTGTTGGATTTCCAGCTGGAGCTGTGGCTGTAGCTGTAGCAGAAGTGAAAATAAAGGGAGGATGTGTTGTACAGTGATGATGTGTTTGATACTTTGGCCACAGCTTATTAAACCCTGATTTTCATGAATAACAAAATATAACTTGTGAAGAACCTGTGAGCTTCAATGAGGGTAGAAACAATGGAGTTACTTTAGCATTACATTATCTTAAGCTGATGATTTATTCTGATTTCTATTAATGTAAATATTTATCACATATGTTATAATAAATAACAATCATCACCTGCTGGTTTCACTGGTTCCCAATTCCAAAGAAAATAACATCCATTGTGAAACTATTTATGTCCTATTTTCAGCAATATACCTTAAGTAAAGGGAAAACTGTTTGGATATTAAATAAATTATGTCAGACTCTGTTTCTTTATTAAATCTGTGAGAATTGCACTTTATTTTCTAAATCAAATCAACAAAGATATCAGGTCAAATCTTCAAACCTATTTGCTACTCATTGGATTGTAGAGGAATCACACAAAGGTTTAAATAACTTGAGAATTTACATAAAACCTTAGAATGACATAGTGAACAATCTGAGAGGATGAACACATGAATGTCATAAAATGGTGCAGATGATCTAAACACAGAGACTAAAGTCCTCAATAAAACTGGATTTGATTCCCAACCATCAGACATTTGCAACATGTTTTAAACTTTGTGTCTCGATTTTAAAAAGTCTCAAGATCCAAAATGATTAAATGAAGTTCTCCATTAATAAATAGGCGACTTCAGTACTTTATTTACTTATTTTGTTGTACTATTGTTCTGCTAAACACACAATAAATGTATTGAATTAAACTTTCAAATACATTTATTTTTATTGTTGTCATAGAAACATTATGTACAAAGAGAAATCACAAATATACTTAAATATAAGTTTTGTAGTGAAATATTAAATTAACTTTGTAACCTGAAATAAAGTTTTGAATATTAAATTACAAAAACTTGCTACACACATCATTTAAACTTTTTAAAGTCTTAATCAAGTTCAGTTTGTCATTATTGTTTTAAATCTCAGTTTCTCATCAGTTTATCAGCCAGTGTGAATTTATCTGGATAATTCATGAGCTGCTGCCTCGATGTTTATATGTTCAGCTTCCTATTGATGAAGCTTCTGGTTCCTAAATGTTGATTTTTTTATGGATCATTTCTACTGAATTGTGTTTCTGCCTGATTTTCTCCAGCCAAGTTTTACCAAAAGGCAATAAACGAACACATTAATTTAACAGGACTGTATTGAATGCGATTGAATTACATGTTATGATTTTGGCTGAACTGGATCCATAATCAGATTTGGACGATTCTACATTTATTTTTAATTCACATTGGCAGTGAATTTACACCATTTATATGAATTAATTCCTTCAGATTTGTGTGTAAACAAGAAAAACAAACATGATTATTATTTTATTCATGTTCTAATATGTAAATAAATAAAGAGCTTAAAATAATCTTTGATTCTTTTCATTTATTTGCACATTTTCAGTTTCTAATGGGATGGTTTCTAGTTACCAGATTAAAAAAGTTATAAATCCAAAACATCTATTGTGTATCATTGTTTGCATTTTAAATGATATTCAGACGATGTGCAGTCGTCTCCAGTTGTATGTAGTGTAGAGCAGCGCCCCACCCCCACCTGTTGCTAATTAATCAGTTTATGTTGACCAGATTTTATGGTCAGATTTCTACTTTTATTTCACAAACAGCAGAAAAGCAGAAATAACATCACATTCTAATAAAACACATTATTTGGTGGTTAAATGTTAAATCTGGTGTCTAATGCCTGTTACCTTTAATACTATCAGAAGCTAAATGTTGCTCTGCAGCTCCTGAACTCTGTGTTGTTTTCAGAACCAGTGGCCGACCTCAGAGTGGTTCTGGTGGGTCAGGAAAGAGTCGGGAAGAGCTCAGCAGGAAACACCATCCTGGGAAGGAAGGAGTTTAACTCTGAACTCAGTCTGGTTCCTCTGACTCTGAGCAGTAAGAGGGCAGAAGGAGAGTTTATGTCTCGTAGAGTCTCTGTGGTGGACACGCCCGGACTCTCCAGCTCTGTTCTTCCTCCAGAACAAGTGAAAGCTGAGATCCAGAGAGCTGTGGAGCTGAGCTCTCCCGGTCCTCATGTTTTTCTGCTCACCATCAAGCTGGGAAGATTCACTGAACAGGAGCAGAGAGGATTGGAGAAGCTGCAGGAGATTCTGGGTCCAAAGGTTTTCATGTACATCATGATCCTGTTCACCTATGGAGACCGACTGGAGAAAGATGGCATCAATATTGATGAGTTTGTACAAAGAGATAAAAACCTGCAGAAACTGGTTAGGAGTTGCAGTGGGATGTATTACATTTTAAACAACCAGAAAATGGAAAACAGGAAGCAGGTCCAGGATCTGGCCAAAACAATAGTTTCACTCAGGGATGTTGAGGATTCTTCTCAAGTCAATGAATTGCTGAAGAAGATCGACAGAACGGTTCAACAAAATGGAGGAGGTTTTTACACCATTAAAATGCTTGAAGAGGCAGAGAGAGAAAACTCATTTATCTGGGCTGCTGCTGCCAGAGCTGCTGTTGGAGCTGCTATTGGAGCTGCTGGTGGAGCTGCTGTTGGGGCTGCTGTTTTAGCTGCTGTTGGACCTGTGATCGGACCAATGGGAAGTGATATTGGAGCTGCCGTTGGAGGTTCACTGGGAAGTTCTATTGTAGCAGCAGTGGGAGCTTCAGTAGCTGTATTAATGGAAGGGAAGACCTGCATTATACAGTGATTATGTGTGTGATGCTTTGGGTACAGCTTATTTAATCCTGATTTTCATTATTAATAAACATGTATCAGTAATAAAATATTTGATCATGTAATTAATTATGTAATAAATATTTCAGCATCTGTGCCTGAGATGAGGAAGGAAGAATCTTTATATCTTTATCACCAAGTTCTTTGATTCCTGTTTATTTCAGTTGCATGTAAAACTGTCAACAATCTGAACAGTATAGTGAATAACCATAACCCTTACCCAAAATGATTAAATAAATAAAATTTCCCCATTAATAAATAGGCGACTTCAGTTCTTTATTAACTTATTTTGTTGTACTATTGTTCTGCTAAACACACAGTAAGTTTATTGAATTAAACTTTTAAATACATTTATATTTATTATTGTTGTCATAGAAATATTATGTATGAATAGAAATCACAAATATGCTCTAAGTTTTATAGTGAAACCATAAATTATTTTTTCTAACCTGAAATGAAGTTTTGAAAATTGAATTACAAAAACATGCTACACACAACATTTCAACTTTTGGAAAGTAGATTCTTTTAAAAGTCTTAATCAAGTTCAATTTGTCAACATGTAAATAAATAAAGAGCTTAAAATAATGTTTGATTTCTTTCATTTATTTGCACATTTTCAGTTTCTAATGGGATGGGATGGTTTCCAGTTACCATATTTAAAAAGTTGTGAATCTAAAACATCTATTGTGTATCATTGTTTGCATTTTTTAATGATATTCAGACGGTGTGCAGTCTTCTCAAGTTGTATGTATGTATTTGGATTCTGGGTCCAAAGGTATCCAAGAACATCATGATCCTGTTCACCTATGGAGACCGACTGGAACAAACAGGCAACGATATTGATCAGTTTGTAAAAAGAGCTAAAACCTGGAGGAACTGGTTCAGAGCTATAGTGGGATGTATCATGTGTTCAATAAACAGAAGATGGAAAACAGGAAGCAGGTCCAGGATCTGCTGGACAAAATAGATTCACTCAGGAAACGTTGTTATTTCCCCAAGATAATAAATTATTATCTTGGTTATTTTCCCAAGATAAGAACGACTGCATTAGTATCTATTTTTATTGTTATTTCATTGGCAATAGCATTCAGAGTGTTGAGATCAGGAGCTACACAGCAACATATGGAGCAGAGTGTAAATATGTGAATACATGGAGTTGATTGACAAAACTAAGATCCTCCTCTTGACTCTGATTGGCTGATTTTGGTTGGAGTGACTTGGTAGCGAAGTGTTTCTTCAGATAGTAGTTCAGAAAAGAGGTGGAGGAAATGGATCTTTTTACAGATTATTTGTCTCATAACAAACTGTTAGAAAATGGTGACCGTTTGAATAAATATGTAAAACTTTTTTTTTTAAATGAAAGTTACATGCATCTTTAAGACTCTGTTCCTTCTCATTTGTGAAGCAGAAATTCAAATTCAAACATACTTTATTAATCCCAAAGGGAAATTAAAAGTTGTTGTAGCTCATTAATTCAGATTCTTGAAACAGTTATTAAAGTTGGCAGAAAAAAATCTCTTGTAGTGTCTGTATTACAGTGAATCTATATTACAATGCATTTGTATCACAGTGAATCTGTATTTCAGTGAATCTGAAGAAGCCTTGCTTCTATTTTTAATTTTGTCCGTTTTGGTCCTCCATACAGGTTGAGGTCTGAAAGGGTAATGTGATTTTAATCAGCAGGTTTATCTGAAATCAGTCCAACTGTTTCTATTACACTGAGAAGATACACCTCAAAAGGTTGCAAACATCGCCACCTGGTGGAGTTTTAGAGCTGTTGCATCACTGGCAGCAGCTGATTCCTCTCACTCTGAAATTCAGTTACACAACAGAAAATGAACTCAAACAAATATTCTTTTAGCTTCTTGTCATAGAAAAAGACAAGAAGCAGCAGTTTCAGTTTCAGAATCTGCTGCAGCTTCCAGGGTCCTGCTGCTGGAATCGTCTGATCAAGAAGATCCAGCAGGACTTCAGCTTGTTATGCAGAAAAACATTCAGTCATAATGGGAGACCAGAATACAGACGTATCAGATCTGATTATAGGAGCTACTTCTCAGTGAAACACTGTTAAAAAAAATTGTGAAAGGGTTAAGCCATCTTTTAAAGAGGCAGAGGCTCAATTTACAAGCACTAAATTACAAAGCCAAATGTCTTAAATTATGTTTGATATTTAAAGCATTTTTATAACAACTGAAAGTAATATAAATAGCTACTTGATTGTGCAGTAAAATGATAATATGTACCTGGGAAATACATAATACTGTCCCTTTAATAAAATGTGCTGCATAAATAAACCACATTGAATCAAACTAAACAGGAAAATGTTAGGTCTGTGTTTTTAGCTGCTCTCCCTGTTGCATCTTAAGAAGTGCATCCATAAAAAAGTCTGTTATTGTGTGTGGTTAAAACCTCTGGGTGATTTATGGCCCTTTGCATAACTATGCCAAGAATGGCCTTGTTTGTGTCTCTCAGTGCTTTATTTATGAGGCCTTCACTGAATATTTTACACTATATTTACTGTGACACTTGAATATTGTGAAGAGTTGATTTTCTGCTTTCATTTACTACCAGTTTGAATTCCTGCACTGGGAGACTGACTGGGTTTTACATTATGCTGTACATTTAAACAAACCAGCTCATCGTCATAGTTTTATGAAGAGCTGCTGTGTTTTTAAAACCATTCCTTTAGCAAAAATCTTTTCCAGGTACCGACACTCTGAAACAGAAAATAAATCAGGTTTCTCTTGCCAACCTTCAGAAAGACACACCATGCTAGATTTATTTGTTATGAAATATTACCGGGGGAGACAGTCAGTATTGAGGCTTTCTGAGCTGAACTGTGAACTCAACACCTGCACTTCCTTTTCTAGCCACCAACTCGAGAAAAATCATCCAGTCATGAATATCATTTACCTGCAGAGACCCGTCAGATTTCTGCATGTTATTGTTCCCGCTACAATCTGCAGTGTGTGGTGTGTTACTGGTGATGTGTTGAATAACTTTGTCTTGTCAGATTATCGCAGCCTGTTGAATGTGACAGGTTGCCAATCAGAAAGCGCGGTGACGTCAGAACGGAGGGGAATCCCAAACAGTTGACATGGCAACAGAGTCCGGTGGAGATCGGAGGTGATATGTGGAAATATTTATTACTAAAGGTTATTATTATATATGTTTGTTTATTCAGTTAAAATGTTAAATAGGAACAAACATAACTATCCTTCAGATCAAATAGAGCCGCTGGTCTTTTTATCAAACGTCTTTTTATTTTATTTTGTCTTTTATCCTTAAAATGATCCACAAACTATCACTGCTGATTCTACATCGTTATAGAGTTTGATTATTATAAATTTACTATGTTCCGTTGGGCGTTTTACTGGATTTTCTTCTAGATCCAGGATGTTCAGTGAATCGGTTCTGGTGTTGCTCCTGTCGTGGTTCTGGACAAACGAACCGACCGAACCTGTTGGACTTTTATCGGTTCTGTGATCAGAGGTTTGGAAAATCTGCCAACAATCGTTAAACCGTGTGAATTAAAACTCACCATCTCATCTCATCTCGCTGCTCTAACGCTCTCTGACTGGTTGCTATGCTAACGTTTACACATCCCTTCAAAATAAGATACAGATGCGCCACAAAAACGAACATTTTACTTCCGTGAACATTTTAACTCAGGATAATTTTAATGGAGCCCTGAGCTCGTTTCTCTGCAACAGACGGTCCGTCTGGGAGACAATGACACCGGAAGTGATGCTCAGGGTGTCTATATGTTGCTGACATGACTGACTTATAACACACCGGAAGTCAGGCAAAGTGCTGCTTTCGTATGTGAAATAACTGACTTGGGATCTGAGAATATTGAACGAAGCAAAAACAAAGCAGGTTTGTAGAAAGACCTTACAAACCCAAAGTTTTTAAAGATGCTCTGTGTAGCAACCTGTGGGCAGCTGGAGATATGAGCAGCCCTGACACCAAGATGATCAGATCATCAGGACTGTGCCATCATTACCAGAACCTTTAAATCTGTGCTGTCTGGGATGAGGTGCAATAAGAAAAACAAAGGTCAGCTCTGGATTCTGCAAATGTTCTGCATGGTTCTGACAGTGTCTGTGTTGCAGAGACATTCCAGGGGAGGAGACTGAAACCAGACTATAAAACAGGAGGAATTAAAAAGTTAAAATATTCACTACCAAGAAACCAACAGCTGCACATCATCCCAGATCAACTGCCTGCAAGAGGACAATAGCAATGACCGGCCATCAATCAGCTGGTGAGAAAAATACATGATTCTAAATTTGTAATGTCAAAATGACTCACAAGTTATTTTGTAAAAAATGTTTCATGTTGAATCATAGTTGCATATTTCTATTTGATAAATGAATAAATTAATTATACTTCTGAAAACAATTGGAGAAACACATTTTAAGAGTTCAAAGGTCAAAGTTTCTGCTTGCAGGCTGCAAGTTTGGAGGGCCTGCAAACTGCGATGTGATCGAGTTGAATCCTGTCCTCAGGCGCTGAGCCGCATTCAAATGAATAATTATAAGATTTCCATGGACATTTTGGATAAACAAAATGACTTTTTCAAAACCTTCCTATTTAAATTAATTTACATTAAGATTAATTATATACAGAGCATAAATATGTGAAGATCTGAAAATGAGTTGTAATGTACAGATGCTTTTTAAACCAGTAACACCAGAAATACATCCAGTTAATTTAATGATATATAATCTTAATGATTTAATTCTTTACTACTTATTGATTGATTACCTGGTGATTAGTGACAACAATCATTACCTGCCAGAATATGTAAAATATGTTTTTATAACCTTTGACATTAATATGATAAAGAAGATGATCAACATTTAATTTTCTATTTGATGCTTCGTGAGATCTAAGAAAGAAAACTGGGATTCATTGTATTTCATTTTGCTCTTTCAGGTAGAGTAAAGATTCTTTTAGCTTATTACCTTGATTTGGTAATATAATGCAACAAATGTGAATATTGTACTATAATAATGACGTCAATCTCTTTACTTTAATAATTAACAAGTAACTTTTTGTAAGTTTATATCAAAAACAGAAAGACAAAAGTTTCTCTTGTCTAAAAGATGTCTGGAAAGTTGAGTTTTTTTTGGACCCAACTGGTTCAGTTACACATCAGTCAATTCTCTATATATGGGCAGGAATATTTGTTAAATTTATCACAACATAGAATTGTGTTTATTGCAATAATGAAAGAATATTTTAAATGAATCTTTCTTCTCAATAGATTGTGGGAAAATGTCTGATGTAAATGTTGCTCTGCAGCTCCTGAACTCTGTGTTGTTTTCAGAACCAGCGGCCGACCTCAGAGTGGTTCTGGTGGGTCAGGAAAGAGTCGGGAAGAGCTCAGCAGGAAACACCATCCTGAGAAATAAGGAGTTTAACTCTGAAGACGGTGTCAAGCTGCTGACTCTGAGCAGTAAGAGGGCAGAAGGAGAGTTTATGTCTCGTAGAGTCTCTGTGGTGGACACGCCCGGACTCTCCAGCTCTGTTCTTCCTCCAGAACAAGTGAAAGCTGAGATCCAGAGAGCTGTGGAGCTGAGCTCTCCCGGTCCTCATGTTTTTCTGCTCACCATCAAGCTGGGAAGATTCACTGAACAGAAAGAGACAGGACTGGAGAAGCTGCAGGAGATTCTGGGTCCAGAGGTTTCCAACTACACCATGATCCTGTTCACACACAGCGACCGACTGGAACAAACAGGCATCAATATTGATCAGTTCATACAAAAAGATGGAAACTTGCAGAAAATAGTGCAGAGCACCAGTGGGATGTATCACGTGTTCAGCAACAAGAAGATGGAAAACAGGAAGCAGGTCCAGGATCTGCTGGACAAAATAGATTCACTCTCAGAAGGAGGACGTCGATTTTATCAGAGCCAAAGTTCCCAGATCACTTTCTTTAGATGGACTCAGTCATTGTGGTCAGACAGGAGATTCAAACTTGGAGTTTTCTTTCTGTGCTGTTGGATGTTGAGCAACATCTATAGTCGGCTGAGAAACGAAAAGATAAAGTAAAAAGTTACTGGAGGAAGAAAGTTTCATGGAAAATGATCAATATTCATTACAATCCAAACATTTGTTTTGTTTGGCTGAGTTTAAAATTAATAAATTGATTCTTTCTGGTTTATTGTCATAGATTTGAGTTTTAGAATGTTGACATATCCCCAATGTCCATTTAGTCACAGATTTGTCAAGGGAGCTTTTATGCATATTTACAATATAATTATAAGATATTTATAATGTTCAAATTGACAACTTATGCCATATTTACAGGACTGACCCAATTCCAGATCAGTATACTTACAGAGGCAAATTTAATTAATTTATATTCTTTCCTGTTTTAAATAATAAAGTTACTTCAAACAATAACTACTTAGTAAACAGTGAGAGACTTGAATAACATCCCATTTAAAGTTAAAACGAAGGTTGTTTAAATTATTATTGGTGTCCAATTTAATCAGATTTTGTGTTTCACAGACATTTGGTTGTTTGTCTTGTCTGAATCCAAAAGTAGAAAATTAAAAGCCATGTGGGGGATCGTTTGCTGGGGACTTCAGATCAAGAACCCCTCACTCTCTTCCATCAAAATATGACTCTATTCTATTCCCATGACTATTTTGTTTTGTTATTAAAAAGCACTGTTGTCCATGTTATTCAGATGTTGGTAATTATTCTGGCTAAGAGTGAAACTGGGTTCTAAGTTTCTGTGTTGAAGAACAAAAGCTCAGTAGCAGCCATAGGGCGACAACATCGTGTTTATGAATGTTATCTGTATTTTCAGAAAAAAAGGAAAGTAAAGAAAATTTACAACCACTGTAGTTCTTGACATCCTTTTTGTTCAAGTGTGCAACACAGGTTCTATATCTTCCAGGCATAATTTTAGACACCTCAACTGATTGGATTCATCAGGATGATAAAGGTTTGTGCCTTTCTCCATTGGCCACTGGGTGAAAAGTCACAAGTTCATCAGAGATACAAAGACATGCAGGAAAAAAGACCACAGGCATGGAGACCATAACTGTCTGGTAAACATTCCTCCACAATCTGAGTATTATCAGAGTCTGCATCAGAAAGCTGAACCTCATCCTTAAAAACTTCTGAATAAAGAAAACTTCATGAAGTTCATACGAAAAGAATTATCTGCTAAGAAGAATAAAAGAAAAAGATTTGTTCTGATACCAAACACAGACGCAACAAGCTAAGATGGTTGTCTTGTTTCCTCCATTTAGTCATTGCACAACATCTGTTCTGCAGCCATCATACCACACCGTGAAGCAGAACCACGCAGTAAACTGTAGAAACTTCTACAGCAGGAAAATATCCTCATCCTTAATGAGGATCCGTTTTCACATCCAACATCTTCTTATTATGGAGCTGAGAAGAAATAAGGAGACTTTGGGGTGTTTTGATAATCCAGTAGACTTGGTTTTACTGGGGACCAAAGTGGAAACATTTGTTACATTTTCAGTTTTTCACTATGACACTGTATTGTGTCAAACAAATCAAACCCCTTGGAAAACCTGTTCTCCTCCTCGCCTGTGGTGGTGCTACAATAAGAACCACCAAAGGAAACAACAAGAAAACCTCTGAAGAAGCAATGAGCAAAAACTCCATCTTCACAAAATGAAAACAGAAATGGAGTGGTGTCAGATTTTAATGGTTGCAGGATTTTTCTTTCGTTTTAGTAAAAAACCACGAGCCATTTCACCCACTAGCCTAGACTCACACGTTTGTTTGGTTTTATTTACCCAGAATTCCTTCCACTTTCTCCTTTTGGAGCACCGAACCAAGATCTATAGGTTTTCAGGAGGACCAGAGTTCACTTTTTTATTTTGAGACTCAAATTTTGCATTCACACCTTTCCAAACAAACCTTTCCAAACTCCAGTTTGATTAAAGCGGACTGAATGGCCCTTTTTAATGCAGTTTCACAGAATCCTTTAAACTACAAACCAACAATGAGTCGATTACAGTTTTTCTGGATGTTTCCTGCTCACCAGCTGCTCCATGTTCCTTCCCAGTCTGCTGATTGGTCTCTATTGTAGAGATAAGCAGGTTTTCATCACTTCATCCCAGTTGTTCTGGTTCTGTTCTGTTTCTGTCTGCACCAGAAGCTGCTGCCGCTATGCTCTGCTTCACTTGTTAAGTTTCCTCTTGTCACACAACATACAGAGTTTTATTCATTCACGTAAAATCAAAACAAATGACCAACTTCCTGTTTGTCTTCAGCTGCTTTAAGTCAATAATTGAATCTGTGTGTCTCAACAGAAAAAGGAAAAAGGAGTTGGGTTTGAGTTAGACTGACGTTTTGTGAAGCGTTCAATAACTTTTATCAATATATAATTGATGTTGTCCAATGAACATCAATCTCTGAAAATCCTTCAGAAACCCTGAAGAAACTTGAAATCTCTTTAGAATAAGACTTTACTGATGAAGCGCTTGTGCTGCAACTAAAGATGATCTCAATTAATCCAATAAAAAATTGGCTCATTTAACCACTAAAGATTTTATACAATGATAAAGCACAATAAAATATGTAAACAAACAAATAATAATAAACATTTTCTTTCTTAAAATACAATAACATTATTATGATAATGAATGTTTGATCATTTGCTGCACAAAACGCACCTGCAGCTAAAACAAACTTTTAACATCAACTAGTAAAAGGTTCAGTTTTTTCTGCTTAACTTAACGTAGTGTTGCTTATCTTTTGAATGAACTAACTGGATATCAATAAGTTCTTTTTTGGGATTTTATTTACATAATTTAAGAAGGTGAAGTTTAGAATGCCACTTAGAACATATTTACAGACAAAGAATTTTTTTTGTAATTTTGAATCTAAAATGTAAATAGTTTTTGTACAGTTTCGGCTTCATATCGGCTCTGAATATGTTATTTTAGTAAATAGCCTTTTTAGAGTTTGTAGCAATTAATTGACTACTAAATTACCCGATCGTTATTTCAATAATTGATTCACCACAATTACCACATTTATTTGTTTCAGCTTCATATAGCACATTTCAAAACTTTGTGTAGTAAGAAAAAAGACTAAAACCAACAACCAACATGCATATGTGGATTTAAATGAGTTTAGGTCCATTTGGATCACAAAAAGAAAGTATGGAAACATGGAAACATTTGAGATGTGATCATATCTTTTCTGTTTGTTCCTCAGGAAGCAGGCAGTCAGTCAGATTATCTGTAATCTCCTCTATACGTTTCATCCTCTCGTGTTATCAGTTCAGACTTTAATCCATCTGCATGTTTTAGTTATCAGATTAAAAACATTTGTATCATCAACAGTGGATCTGACCAGAGAACTGCACCCATGTGATTTCTTTCATTATTTTTCTTCACATAAATACCTTTCAATCTGATGTGATTTTCAAAAAACACAGCCTGCTAGTTTTGTTGTGTTTATTTCAGCTGCTGAATAGGAACACTGTGTGTTATTGTACAACTTGAACAACACAAATATAAATGCACAAAGGCTGGTTTTCATTTATTCTTCTCCAGAAAGTACAGAGTGAATAACCTAAAATTAAAAAGAAATTGCTCTGAAAAAAAACACAAAATAATAATACTTCATACGAAAATACGTCGTACTAAACAAGTTGTGCAATGTCTCTTTAGAGAATTATCAACACATATAGAGCAGTAGGACATTTTTTCCTCTAATATGCTGAAAGAACCACCTGATTGAGCTTAGGAACTGTTTTATCTCCAGGTTCTTGGAAGCAACTTCAGTAATCAGGGTAAAAAAATGTTTTTAATTATTTATTTTTATATTTATTCAGTGGTTGAATAAGGTTTTTTAGTAGAAAAAGAGTTCTTGTCTTCTAAAATGAGAGAAGAGTGTTGTGGACTTTGACTTTATTTGTTTATAATCAAATATAATAAACCAAAACCTTTTATTTAAATTTCTATAATGAGATGTGCATATAAAATGTGCAAACTGGGACCAGCAGTTTGCACACTGCTGGGTTAAAACATCCCATATTTGAAGACAGATCTCCAGACAAAAGTTTTCTCCATATGTTGTACACATCATGGGAGGAGATCAGGGTGAGGTTATTATATAAGAACAGAGACGGGAGTCAAAATATTCATCAGCAACGCATCAACAGCCGCTCTACATCGACTCACCTCCACCTGCTGCAAGGAAGATGTTCAAAAGAAAAGGTGAGTTCATAAAATTTTTAAAAACTCCTTCCTAATCCAGTTTGGATTAAAAAACATGTGAAAACTTAGAAAATATCAAAACAGTTTTCAATCTAAATTTATAAAAAATTGAATATTTGATCTTCTTCTGATGGTAAGAATGAAGAGGAAACAATTCAACTCCAATCATGGCTAATTTTTAATATCATTGCAAACAATGTATTAGGAACAGTGGTAAAATAAAGATGATGGTAATTTGATCCCATCGTTTTTTTTTTCTACGAGCTTCTTCTGGGTCAGGATCACAGGAGACGGGAGAAACTCAGAAGAAAAAGAAATGTGATCAGAATACAGGTCAGATCAAAACTATTTGATTTATTTTCTGATATGTTTGATAAAATTTTGTCTAAACAAAGAAATGTTCACCTATGGTTCATATGTATAAATACACTTATATATGATGTATTTATTTATATATGATTTGTTTTTTGGTGACAATGATCAACAACTGCACGTATCTTATGCACGTATTAGACTAAGCTTTTCTTACCTTTGCTTGGTTAGAATTACCAAAACTATTTCTATTTGCTAAATGCCAGATAATTTGGCTAGAACATTTCTTAGAATTTTTTGGTAACTTTTCTTGAATTAAAAAGTTTGCATACATTTTGTCGGTAAACAGTTTGTCTTGGGTTGAATATCTGGTTTCAGCGGTAGATGCTACATATATGATTTTACAAAACATACTTTTCTTTCCCTTAACATTTAATTTCCATATTCAAACATTACTTGTGATTTATTTCTTCCAGGTACAGATCCAGAAGAATGTGACATTATCATTTTGCTCATTGGTAAAACTGGAACTGGCAAGAGCTCTGCAGGAAACATCATTATAAACTCTAATCATTTTGCAGTTGGGGAGAATACATTGGTGTGTGAGAAGGGATTTCATAACTTGCCTGATGGCCGTAGATTGGCAGTGATTGATACTCCTGGTCTATTTCACACCATATTGACCCCTCAGGAGATGAAGAGACAGTTGGTTAGATGTCTCTCATTGTGTGCTCCTGGTCCTCATGTGTTCCTGTTTGTGATAGACCCAACAAGTTTCTCAGAAAAAGAAGAAGACATGGTCGAAATCATCAGGAAGATTTTTGGAGAAAGAGCACCTAGATATGCCATGGTGTTGTTCACTCATGGAGATCAAATGCCTGTAGATCCAAACAGACAACGTATTTTGCATCTTAACCAAGCTTTAAATGATTTTCTCAGCGAATGTCGGGGAGGTTATCATATTTTTGACAATGAAATTGGGAACAGAACTCAAGTTATTGAGCTGGTGGAGAAGATTGACAGCATGGTTCAGAGAAATGGAGGCAGCTGTTACACAAATGATATGTTCAGAGAAGCTCAACGAGCCATTAGAGAGGAGGTTGGAGGACATAGGGGTCCAGCAGAGAGAAACAACTCGTTTATTCGAGCTGTTGACCAAGCTGCTGTTGCTGAGGCTGCAGCTGAAGTGGGAGATGCAGTGAAGAGAGGCAGGTCAGTGAGAGATAACTGGTGCGTCATCATCTGACTAAAAATGCTGCAAATAACCACAATGATGGCGACCAACTCAGTTTAATCATCTGACAATAATGAGATGTGCTAGTGAATAGTCATTAATCATAAACAAAATTTTTTTAGTGTGACATTTGAACGTGATTTGTTATTTGAAGACAATGATTAACAACTGCATGTTTTTGATCTGCATATTTTAATTTAAGGAATAAATTTGTTTTATTAGTTATTTATTTATTTATTTCAGTTTGAATTCAAAATATGTTTTCATTTACTAATAACTACAAAGTGATTTGGACTACACTGCATGTTTTGTTTTTTTACCTTGTGTTCACAATAAATATTTAAACACTTCATTCAGTTCTGTGAGATGGGTTTTTGTATTCAGTTTTTATGAAGTACAAGCATAAAAGCCAACATTTCACACTAGAATATTGTGAAATAGAATGTTAATATTGTCATAATCCCTGAAAACTTTTTGTTTTAGATGTTTTTTCCATGACCCAGCCAGTTTTATTCATTTGTTCATTTAATTTATTATTTTATATGCTATTTTTACAAAACATCACAAAGATTGTTAAAAAAAAATTAAAAAAAGAACAGGAGAACAAACATATAATTTACAATAAAATGCTATGGCAGATTGGTACAAATGTGTCCATAAATATCTGCATAATTTTTGTCTTATTGTTTATTTTGATGTCAGTTATAAATAAAAATTTCAAGAGCACAACAATAAAACAAAAAGTCTTGCATAGCTTGCTTTGCATTCCGGTAGTTTGGATTAGCCGTTCAACTAGCAGTGAGCTAACTCAGAAGAACCAGAGCGGACACCGGAGAACTCAGAGAACCACCAAGAGAGCTGAGCTCCTCCGCGGCCGTTTGTTGACCCAAAGCCCGCGCTCAAATACAGCCGGTCGATCATGTGTTCCTGATTGTTCTTCAACCGACCTAACCCTAACCCACCAGAAGAAAGAAACTGTGGAAATAATAAAGAAAACATTTGGAGAAGAAGCAGCCAGATACACCATGGTGCTGTTTAACCATGGAGATGAACTGAGAAAGGCAAACATTAAGATAGAAGATCTATTGGCAAAACAAAAACCTCATCATCAGTCAGTGCTCCGTCTTGGAGAAATTTGAAGATAAATATCATATATTTGGAAATGAAGTCAAGCATCCTGCTCAAAGACTTCTGCAGAAGATCAACAGAATGGTTCAGCAAAATGGAGGAAGTTACTACACCAACAAGCTGAATCAGGAATACACATGTAGTCATATGAGAGCACATGTATCTTCTTCATTGCAGTGACAAATTTAGAAATCAAGATGTATTTCTTCAACTGAATTGATTAGAAGCAAAGACTTCATTAATGAATGAGAGTCTATCTGATCTATAAAACAGCGGGAGGAAACTCCCACTGTGGTTCAGTGTTTCGGTTTCACTTCCATTTCTTCTTTTTGCTATTTGGAAACTCTACTTAGAACTTTCTTAAGATCCAACACTGGAAATGTTTGATCAATAGTACATGTTCAAATCAACAAAAGAATGACCTGAAGGAAGAAATTGCATTTTGGAATAACTTAGCTAGAGTTCAGAGTTAAATCTGACAGAAAATAGGTTAACTGATCAGAAATGTCCAGTAAACAAGATAACAATCTGGTCAGTTTTAGGTATTTATCGCTTTATTCTAAGTTTATGAAATGATATTAAATTGTGTGCTAACTGATCTGTAGAACCTATTTGTACTTATCTCCTATGGAGATGAGCTGAGAGAAGCAAACAATAAAATAGAAGACAATGTAGAAAGACACAAACCTCTAAACCGTATCATCAGTCAGTACTCCATCTTCCAGACATAAAGATAAATATGTTTTCGAAACAGAGTTGAGGATCCTGATCCAGGCAGTGGATTGCTGCAGAAAACCCTATGAATGGTTCAGTGAAATGAAGGTAGTTTTATGGAAGTAAATATGTGCCATCAGGATTTGAATAAAAAATGCCTCTGAATTTTCAACGTAAAAAAATTCAGTGATAAAAAATTCGCTGTTAAAAATTCAACGTCTAAAAATTTGCTGTAAAAAAAATTCAATGTCTAAAAATTCGCTGTAAAAAAATTCAACGTCTAAAAATTCGCTGTTAAAAATTCAACGTCTAAAAATTTGCTGTAAAAAAATTCAATGTCTAAAAATTCGCTGTAAAAAATTCAACGTCTAAAAATTCGCTGTAAAAAATTCAACGTCTAAAAATTCGCTGTTAAAAATTCAACGTCTAAAAATTCGCTGTTAAAAATCCAACGTCTAAAAATTCGCTGTTAAAAATTCAGCGTCTAAAAATTCGCTCTCAAATTCAACGTCTAAAAATTCGCTGTTAAAAATGGCAAGGTTACTTCAGGTCACAGACATGCGCAATGGACGTCAGATTCCAACACCCAGCCAATCACAAGACGCCACGTCATATAGAAGAAATACCAGCATCACGGAGGCTGGCGACTATGGAGGCGAACGCTAACCCAAAGGTGAGTTTAATGCTTTCATATTTCTGTAGTACATTTCATTTTGCGCCTAAGGTTTGATACATTATCTTAAAGCTCGATTTAAAACACGGGTTTGGTTTGGTCCGTTGTTAATCTTACAGCATGTAGCGCAGGCATATAACGTCTTGCTACCTCCTAGCATCCAGCCCCTGCTAACCTCCAGCCCCTCCCCGCTGTCCCTCACCCAACTTCCCCCGTTTTATTTAAAAAAGAAATAAACTTGGGTCTTTAAAGAGAACTGATGGGTGGTTGTTTGTATCTTGTCTTGGGTGAGACTGAGACAGGCGGTCTTAGTAAAGTCCAAATTTTTCAGGAGATGCTACCGCTCTCCACCATGGCCTAGCAAAGATACAGGCTTCAGATAGAAGACGCGCATCCCAGGCTGAACAGTGTCAATGAGGATGAATGAAAGCAACATTAATTATTACATATTAACTAATGTAATAAGTTAATATGGCTGCCTTGTGTGCTTCAAGGAGGGGCTGTGAACACTTCCGACATTAACTATACCCACAACCCCATTCTGTTCAGCTACTATACTGTTAATGTGACTTCATTTATGAATGAATTAATGAATTTATTGTCATTACGACATTATAAAAAATACTAGTTACCTACCAAACTGTAGATTTACTTGTGTTTGATATAATTTCTACAATTTTAACGGGAGAAGAGCACAGTAAGATTGCCATCCTTTTCGTAAAGTACGGAAGAATTCACTTATGAATGAAGCAACAAATTTATTGTCATTATAACATCATCCAAAATACTGCTTTTCTTATCTGACGAGTATTGATATAGAATATTAATTGCTAGAAAACGTTGTCCTGTTACCTAGTAACACTATAAACAATCCCCTTTATTTTCTCAGTTCATTTTAACTCATTTTGAAGAAAACATGCTTCTAAGTATGTCAGCTAACTAATTTTAGATTAAATATCATAATTTAATAATTGCGTCTGTTTTGTCATGTAAAGCACTTTAAAATGTTTTGTATATTAAATATGCTACACACAAAAAATGTCCCTGTATAAGGAGAAATATTTTTGAAATTTACAGAGGAGGTGATAAAAGTTTTTGTTTTATTATATGCAATATTGTATTTACATAAAATTTCGACAGAATTTTATTAATTGTACCTGAGTCGTCAATATTAGTCTATAGAAGACTCGGGTGCAATTAAAATTCCCACTTTTTGTATCTCCACAATATATTTTTGGTGACAAAGAATGTTTGAGCTATGCTAAAATTTGTCATTTTTGTTGTATTAATTGGCAAATCTTTGTGTTTTCCAGGGTGTACAAATTCCAGAAATTGTATGAAAGGACAGCGGGTTTCCTCTTCACGAGTCAAACATCACAGTACCAAACTCTAATTTGCAACTGACTGATGAACAAATGGCAGCCTAAAGAAATGCAGTAAACCCAAAACATCACCGTCTTCTGAATGTGACATTTATATTGCTGCAGTTCAGTTTTGTGAGCAGTTTTTTACTATGTGAAAGTTGTCTTCAAAATAAGACTTCCGCTCTTCAAAATGAATCATGCTTTGAATTTATTTTTCACGTTACCTTTTTGTAATTATGTTCAATCAAGTTAAATTCTGTGTATAATAATTGTATAAATTGTGCTTAACATCTGACTGTATATAGGTAACCAATCATAATCAGGATTTTGTCTGTGATTAAATTCAAAGCATGACTTATTTTGAAGAGTGGAAATCTTCACATTTATGAAATGTAAAGCAAAATGCTGATTATGTTACCATAAATGTGAATTTTAGTGCTTTTATGGAAGTTGTTAAAGAACTAAAGTGTTTAAAATTTATAATTTGATTGTTTTTTTCTTTACTCAAAAGGAAGCTAATAGGTACATTTGTCCATTGTCAGGCGCGTGCAGAGGGGGGTGCTTTGGGGGCTTGAGCACCTGCCCCTTTTGCTCCATGGCCCCAAGTGCCCTTTTGTTTTTTGTTTTTTTCTTACACCTGTACTACAATTATTACTATATTACTATTATTACTATTATTATTATGATTACTTTGCAAGAAAAACAACACAATAAGCCCTCCGGTCACATTGTTACCTTTGACCTTTTGCCCATGACGCACGATGCACTTGCCTCTCGCGCGGTGAGATAAGGCGGCTAACTGCGGAGCTCAAGCTAGCGACGTTCCAGATTACAAAACAGCTTTTGGTGAACTGAAAAAAAATTATTTTTGGTGAAAACACTGGAGTCGGCTTGCTACTTGTCAGATAACGGAAAACGTTAAATGTTGTATCGTTTCTCCTTCAGCACGGAGTCGCGGTTTAAGCAGAAATGAAATATAACAAGACAGGTGTCTTAGAGAATATAAGTCTCTAAGTCCGCCTTTCTCTGAATATCTACTGAGCGGGAGGAGACAGACAGGTGAGGAAAAGCTGTTCTTATCTATCGATCCAGTATTTTTATCATCAGACATTAGGCTGTTGTTGTGCTATGAGCTAGCTGCTAGCTAATGACTTTGCTAGCAAAGCAAGGTGAGATAAATAGCTTCCCTGTATTGTTAATGACAGTATTACTTATGCAATAGGGGCACATCGCCCGTCCAAAACCTATCATCTCCATAATGGATATATGTCCGATTTTCTAATTTTCTTTGGTGAATGATGTATATTGCATTTATTCTAGCGTTAGGTAAATGTATCTTGAAGGAGAATTTAAATAAAAGTCCAACGAGGATATTCATTTAGAATTAAAAATAACTCATCCTGAACTACCATGATAAATATAATGTATGTAATAATCAAACTGTTTCTGTCCGATAAAGCATGTCATTAATGAAGGGGCAAACAAACTTTTATTTGCACACATCAAAAATCTTTGGTTTTGATTTTAGGCTCTCCCCAGACGTCATGTGAGAATCGCAAGCAAAACTTTGAATAGCAAGCAAAGATTTCTGACATGCGCAAATAAGTTTGTTTGTTTTGCAAATAATTTTTTAAGTCATGAGATAAAAAATTGTGATTTCAGTTTTTAAAAAAAATTAAGTTAAACATTTTTTTGTTGAAGAAAATGTTAAAATTCAAAATGTCTTGATCACAATTTTATATTATTTAATCGAGGTTAGTATTTTAATTGAATAATTGTGAAACAAATTGAACTCCATAGGAGAGGTCTCATTTTCTCTGAAATTAATATTGTTATGCTGTGGACTGAAAAACATATTGGTTTAAACACAAGGGTAAAGAATTGGTAGTGTGGTTTATTATAGTGTTCTGATCATAATTCTTTGTTTTGCTTTTTTCAGTTTAAAGACGCCACGTAAAGAGAGACGTCAGAAACAAAAAAGAAAGGCAGTAGACTGTTGACAAACTGGGTCAACTGTACCAATCATTCACAGTGAGGTTATTAACATTCTTCAAGACATGACCAACAGAAAACTGTTGCTATGAACAAAAGAGAACAAAAACAGCAAAAAATGCTTAAAAGTTTGAAATTTGTTTTTAAACAGTTAAAAGGCAGTTAATGAAATAAATAAGACTTCACTCAACACAGAGAAGATGAGACAATGAGGAAAAAAAGAAAAGAGAAACTGACAAGAAAAAAAGAAGAGGAAAGATTGAAGAAAATGTACATAGGTACTTACAAAATACACTAAAACACAATTAGAGTAGTCTTTTCTCATAGTGACATGCATTAATTAAATTTTTGCTTTTGTTTTTTTCCTGCAGTTCCACGTTAAAGTTTGATGCAGCTCTGTTTTTCTGAATGGACCGTCTTCATCTCCACTGCAAGTACAGCAACCCAAGCAGATGTTCTTTGATTGTATGTCTCACAATTTTGTAATCTATCATTGTTAATTAAACTCTGAGAGCTGTGTGACTTTGTTAATATTCTGTCCTGAAATGTGATTTGATGTGCCCTTTTTTTTTTTTTTGAGCACCTGCCCCTTTACTAGTCTCTGCACGGCCCTGAGTATCAGATTTCTTTTTCTTTTATTTTCTGAAAGAACCACCTGATTGAGCTCTAGCACCGATTTATCTCCAGGTTCTCCACCGGACAGAAGCAGCTTCAGTGATCAGAGCAGGAAAATATTCGCCAGTGAACTGATATAGAACCCGCATCACTGAAACTACTTTTTATTGATTTCAGTGGTTAAATAAGGTTCTTTAGTAGAGATATGGAGTTCTTGTCTTCTGAATGATACAAAAGTGTTGTTGACTTTGACTAACCAACTTCTGGTCATTTAAACCAACATCTGCCTCCTCAAATTATTTTAATTAACCTTTTATTTGAATCCTTATTATGAAATATGTCCTTGAACAGTGTGTAGACAGGCACCAGCAGGTTTCTGTGGGTTAAAACATCCCGTATTTGATGTCAGATCTCCAGACAAAAGTTTTCTTCATATGTTGTACAAATCATGGGAGGAAATTAGGGTCAGGTTATGATATAAGAACAGAGACAGGAGTCAAAATATTCGTCAGCAACGCATCAACACCAGCTCTACATTAACCTGCTTCCACCTCCAACACGTCCAGAGGAAAAGGTGAGTTTATATAAAACATAATCTCAATTGATGTTTCTAAAATATTTCAATAACTATCATTTTATGTGTTCATTTATTTTATGCAATTTACATATTTGATAATTTCTTTATGGTGGTAAAGATTCAATTCTTATTCCAGATTTTCGCAATTAATTTATTTTTTTTTTTGCCTGAATTTTGATAGCGTTTATCTCTAAACGTTTAACATTCGTATGACAAATGCAAAACCTAATTACCAACAATTTGTTTCTATGTCTTGATTTTATTTAATTTAGTCTCTAAATGTAACCACAAATTAAGTAAATTCGTAATTTTGCTTTGAAAATATTGAAAAATATTACTGTTTCAGTATATCTGCAATTTGACTTGGACTTGTTACTATATATTTCTAACAATTCCTAAAGTAAGTGGGTCTTGAATATTCTCATTTTGTATTATTGAAAAGAAATTTCAGATGAGTTATTCTCTTAAATTATTTATGATTTTTGGGCAGCTTAGCTTTTGTTTTCTAGCACATCTGAACTTGAATAATTCAACAAACTTTCCACCTCTTTGATTAGAAAATAATTTTTCTGTATGTTAAAATTTGTTTTTTGAATAGTTAAAAAACATTCAATTTTTATTTTAGTTTCAGAATTCCTGAAGAAAGAACTGTTTTTCATTGACAGGAAATTAACATTAACATGAAATGAATCAAATTTGTGTTTTTACAAATATCCTCTGAAGGGATCCTAAACATTTTAAGTATATTTTAAAAGTTGACATTCGGTTTTATTATTAAAAACAATTTAATTATGAAATGTCCAACAATAAACAGTCCAACGACAAGGCAGCACAGCAGAGCTGAAACTGAGGCTCAACACTGGTAGCAACTTGCAAAACGAATGGACAGAATAGATAGCACAAGACGAGACGACAACAAATGACTGACAACTGAATGAACAAGGACCCGACAAGGAACAAGAAACACTCGTGGGGTTAAATACACAGAAGGTAATCACGGAACGAGACACCTGGGAAAAATCAAGGGGAGACAGGACAACATGGAGAAACAGAAAACGCAAATCCTGACGGTAACCACCTCCCCCCACCTCCCCCGCCCTGGTAGGGCAGAGGGGTTACCAGATGCCCAAAAATGTTAAAGAGAAAACAAAACACAGTAAGGGCGGGCGGAGGGGTGCCGGAGAGGGGGCCAGAGTTCAAAAATCAACCCAACCAGGGTGGAGGTCGGGGCGCCAGAAGGAGGTTAAAGAGTCCAGACAACAAAGCAAAGACTGCCCAACAAGGATGGGCAGAGGCACTGGAGGCAGACCGTTGTTTGAGCTCCGGCGGACGTTGATGGAGCAGGAACTGGACGCCGTGACAGGTGTCCAGCGGGTGACGTCCGCGGGGGGACCGGACACTCGGAGGCGACGATGGAGCTCCAGGGCCACCAGGAGACAGCAACTCAGAAGGAACACTAGGGAGCGGGGACTCAGAAGGTGCACTCAGAGGCGGAGACTGGGAGGGAGCACTAAGAGGTGGAGACTCGAACGAACTACTAAGAGGCGGGGACTCGCAAGTAACACTGTGCCGCCTTGATTTCTCCTTTTGCATTTTTTTTAACTGTATATGTTATTTTGTACCATCTTTTAGCTTTAAATATTAAGAGGATTTTTCTTTTAATCATTTGTGGGATTCAAGTCTGCAAACACACAGACATATAGCAGAAATGTTGGGGATGTTTAGTTCCAATAAGAGGACTTCTTTCAATGAAGACAGATGTACTAGAGCATTGTAACATTTCAATAAAAATATATTTGCATGATCACAGAATTGTTGTGTCTCTTGTGTGATTCTTTTGTCAAAGCTGTTCAAAGAAAAAAGTTTCATTGTGGGTGAGACTGGTCCAGCTCTCTTTGTACCTGGTCCCACCCATTCAAATAAGGAGGCACTGAACCACCAGATTTGTTTGCAAACCAGAGACTCATCCAGTATCAAACCTTATGCTGCTTGTTTTTGTCTGAACTATTTTTTTGCAAATGCTACAGATATGTTTCTGAAATGTGTGCAGAGCAGAGGTTGCACTGCACAGCGTCAAAATAACAGAGAGTGAGAACACTCATAATCTCTTTTTACCTGTCTGAGAATGTCATATTAAATTATATTTCATTATCATTCGATTTAGTGAACATGATTCTCCCACTGATGGGAGTGTTTACAGGATCGGATAACATTCAGAGTGTAATGCTAACTTCTGTTCAACTGGTGAAATTTTACCTGATTTCAAAACTTTGTCTTCACAGAGAAAAAGTTAAATGTATTCAACTTGATAATAACACAATGTGGATTATCCGTTCAGTTTGTTGAATATTTATGAAAAAAAATTAAGTACAATTAAATGTCAGCATTATTTTTAAAAAATTACGGGTGAACTACTGATGCTTTGATCAGTGTCTACATTTGCCATGAAGCTGGAGTAGCAAAAGCAAACTACAAAACATAAAGGTGGTGTTGAAAAGTTGAAATATATATAAAAAAATAAATCCCTCAGAGAAAATGCAGTAAAAACTGTCAATATTTTTGACCTGTTTGGTAGAACTTCTTCTTTCTGGGTTTGGTTTTTCTACCAGACATGTGGTCAAATAAACCTGCTTACAGCAGCTTAAGTGTGATTAGCATTATTTATTTTTTTAATAGGCGTTTGTTGTTATGGCTGCCTGTCACATTTACACAGCACTTTAAAACAATAGTAATACTATTCTCTTACACAGACAGAGGCATTAGACAGCCAGAGTGCTCAAAGCTCAACTTACTTTCAAAGCTAAACTTCATGTTGTTGGCTTTGTAGTCTACATATAGACTCCAAGGCTACACACACACACACCCACACACACACACACACTCATCTGTATCTACAATAGATCAACGAGTTTCTGTGTGCTAAACCTACTGCTATCGCACATAGAAACCGGTTTCTGGGAGTTAAACCAACAAGTGTCTATGTACAAACAGAAAGTTATTTGTATACTAGGTTTCTGTTTCAGATAAAAGTTTTTCTTGGGCTGGAAAACATCATGGGAGGTGACCCGGGTCGGTTTATTATATAGGAACAGAGACAAGATTGAACTTGTTCATCTGCGACGGCTCTACATCAACCAACTTTAACTTGTTGTAAGGAACATGTCCAAAACGAAAGGTGAGTTAAAATTTTAAACTTCTGATCCACTTCGTTTGTTTTTTAACCAAACTAAGTGCTTGTCATGTTTTTGTACTTAAGGATTTAAATACAGCAGGCAGGAGATGTAGGAGTGAGTTGAAAATGTAACGAAAGCAATGCAGATAAGACTTACAAAAATGCAGGAACCCAGAAAGAAACATAAGATCATCCAAAACACAGCCAGACAGGAGAAATGAAGCCGCTAAGGAGAAGTATGAGGAAGCGAGTTGACAAGACAAGCTGGCGAGGAGTGACTGAGAATAAACTGCTTAAATATGAGGGAGTTTGAAAGTGGAACAAAAGGGCTGATGAGCTAACAGAGGTGAGTGGAGGGAAAAGGAGGCAAAATGAGAAGAGGGAGAGAGAAAGATGCTAGGGAGCAGAAAATAAAATACTTCTCCATCCATCCATTTTCTTAGTACCCTTCTCCCTAACGGGGTCGGGAGGTGCCGCAGTCTCCAGCTGCGTTCCGGGCGAGACTAAAATACTTCAGAATAATTTAGTTAAAGAAACATAATAAAACTAGAGTGACAAAGAACAACAACCTGGAATAAACATAACAGAATCAGAATTCCTTTTAGTGTCATTGTGCATGAAGAAAGCACAACGAAATGTAAAAAATAGCAACGCTAAAATAACTGGATAGAAGGAGGCAAAATGTTGATATGCTGATAAAATAAATCAACATATCAATAAATATAAAAATATAGGAAGCAGAATAAATAAACTGGCAACACTAAGCAGAACTGAAGAAAACAGGAACAAGATCTAAATAAAACAAACAAAGTAAGAATGAAACTAAAATGACCAATAAAGGACAGAAGAAAGCGAAAGAAAAACATAACTGATCTACCTGAAAAGGAACAAAAAACCCACAGAAATAAACAAACAAAACCAAACATCCAGGGTTCCTAACAATGAGAAGGTTTCGATCACTTTTGTAATGTTTTTTTTTCTAAATGAATATGTAGCAGTTTGAATATATATATATTCTTACCATCCTGTTTTGATGGTAAGAAGAGCACATGATTTGTCTTTCAACATTTTTTAAATATCATTACAAACAATGTATTCATTAAGGAAAATTGTGAAATAAAGATCAAGGTAATTTGATCATCATGTATCTTTTCCTGTCTGTTCGTCCCTTTTAGGTTCACGGGTGGACGTGGGAGAGGCTAAGAAGAAAAAATGTGATCAGAAAACAGGTGAGACCAAATCTATTTGATTTATTAGTATTTTTTAATCTTCAAACATAACTGTAAAAAAAATTGTCAAAGAGTTTTTATTTGTCGCTAATGCAGCCCGGTATTTTTCCAGTTGCCTCTGATCAAATTTACTTCAAAGTGATTTTCTGCTACGGTTTGGGTCTGATATTGAAACATGCATGTGACATGTAATATTTAAAACATCTTAAAGGCTGCATTTGGCGCCACCCATTCTGACATATAGAAAGTGAAAGCAGGAGAATCTATTGATACTTTACTGAAAACAAATGCAAGGCATGACAGAGGTTTCAATAAGGTAAACAAAAGCAACAAGAAAAACAAAGATAACAACCAGATTAAAGGACATAAAGCTCCATATATATATCTATCTATATATGTGTGTGTGTGTGTGTGCGCGCGCGTGTGTGTGTGTGCGTGTGTGTGTGTGTGTGTGTGTGTGTGTGTGACATGTTACAGTGTCAACAATTCTTCAACAAATGTGATTTCAAATAAACATTTAATTTTCAGTTTAAGCATTATTTGTGATTTTTTTTCTTTTCTTTTCTTCTTACAGTTGAAGATCCAGAAGACGTTACCATTTTGCTCATTGGCAAAACTGGAACTGGCAAAAGCTCTGCGGGAAACATCATTGTGAATGCTAATGGTTTTGAAGTTGGGAAGAATACAATGGTGTGCGAGAAGAAAATGCATCCCCTGCTTGATGGCCGTAGATTGGCAGTGATCGATACTCCAGGTCTGTTTCACACCAAACTGACAGCTGAGGAGATGAAGACACAGCTGACTAGATGTGTCTCGTTGTGTGCTCCTGGTCCTCATGTGTTCCTGATTGTGATTGAGCCAAAACGTTTCTCGAGAGAAGACAAAGACATGGTGAAAATGATCAAGAGGATGTTTGGAGATGGAGCAGCTAAATATACCATGGCCTTGTTCAGTCATGGAGATGAAATGGAGAAAGATGGAGTCTCAGTAGAAAGAGCTATGTATTTCAACCCACCTTTCAATAATTTTCTCAGCAAATGTAAAGGAGGTTTTCATGTTTTTAACAACAACGACAACAGGAATCAAGTTAATGAGCTGGTGGGAAAGATTGACAATATGGTTCAGAGAAATGGAGGCAGGCGATACACAAATGATATGTTCAGAGAAGCCCAAAGAGCCATTAGTCGGGAGATTTCTCAGGCTGAAGTAAATAGAGAGACAGCAGAGAGAAACAACTCGTTTATTCGAGCTGTTGACCGAGCTGCTGCAGTTTCAGCCGTTGCTGAAGCTGCTGCTGAAGCTGCAGCTGAGGCCGCTGCAGCAGCCACTGCTGAAGCTATAGCTGCAGCAGCGGCTGAAGCTATCATTGAAGCTGCTGTTGGAGTGGCAGATGTTGTGAGTACAGTCACAGCAGTGAGAGAGGATGGATGCGTAACTCAGTGATAACCATGTGATCAGGAGTAATTGCAAGTAACCTCAATGATAGTGACCAGCTTGTTAGCTGTTAGTGAATAGTAATTATTAATTACATATCTGATTAAACACTTTTAATAGAACCTTTAACATTAAAATACAACATGTGATTTGTTATTTAAAGACAATGACTAACATTGTCTTGGCTTGTGATCTGCATATTTAATCTAAAATAATACATTTGTTTTATTGTTCATTTCTTTATTTTGTTTGTTGTCAACAATAAATTCAAAAGATGATTTTTATTAACTAATATCTACATTTTGATTTGGAATGTATGTCTTTATTTTGTGTTCATAATAAACATTTAAGCACTTTATTCAATTGTGTTTGGTAAGTTTTTTTAACCATTTTTTAAAAAGAAGTACAAATAAAAAAGCAAACGTTTTACACTAGAATAGAATGAAATAGAATATTGATGTTGGTATTTCCCTGATCTCTGTTTTCCATTAATGTTCCATGTTTTTCCATCAACCAGGTAGTTTCACTCGGTTCACTATGACTGCCTGTTTATTTGAGTGTGAACCTCATCAGTTTATTCATTCTTTCATTTTCAATAATTTATTTATGCACTATTTGTGGAAAACAGTTGAAAAAGCTACCGGAAGTGTCATTCTTCCTTATATGGTCTGCTTCCAGGTAGCTGAAGTCTCGCACAGCTTGCTTTGCATCGCGGTAGTTTGGATTAGCCGTTCAACTAGCAGTGAGCTAACTCAGAAGAACCAGAGCGGACACAGGAGAACTCAGAGAACCACCAAGAGAGCTGAGCTCCTCCGCGGCCGCCTGTTGACCCACAGCCCGCGCTCACTGCGCTCACCCTGACATGACTTCAAATACAGCCGGTCGATCAACGCCAGAAGACGGGGAACTGGAGGACGGAGAGATCTGTGATGATGAAACCGAGGAGAGAGCTCCTCCGCGGCGGGGGGAAGGGCGCAGGCCCCGCGGCGGCGCCAGGCCGCGGCCGAGAAAACCGCACCAGTCACCGCACAGCTTGCGGCCTCTACTTGGACCTCCACCGCAGGATTTTAGGCACATGATGCCCTACAACCCCGGACCCCACTTTCACGGCCCGTTCCCCCCGAACCTAAGACAGCCAGACCATCCTCCCGTCCCTCCGCCTCCTGGGATGCCGCTTCCGCCGCCACCCGGCCTCGGTCTCCACGGAGAGCCCAACAACCGCTCCAACTTCTGGGAGCGGAGCCACGGAGCCCTGGGACGTTTCCGGCACCGGGGCTTGCCGAACGGAGGCCGGGGGTCCTGGAACCGAGGTCGAGGCCTCGGGGGGAACAACAGAGGAGGACCTGGAAGACCCGGACCGGTGGACATCCACGGATCTCCCAACAGAAAGCGTATCCTTCACGGATCTGACTGGTTTACAACTGGACCGGAACCACCGGGAACCAGAACCAGTTGTTTTTGTTTCGTTTCTGGAGCCAATATCTTAGTACACCTGAAATGAAACTAAACTAACAAGTTACTTCTCTCAAGATACAGCGGTTTTAAGCCAATAATGTTGGATAAAAACTGCTAAAAGGTTTAGTTTCACTGGCAGATTATTTTCACCTATGGGGAAAATGATGCAGTAGATTTTCCAGAAACATTTATTTTAATAGTGAGATTTGTTACTAACACCCAGACTATCAGACAGTGACCAACAGCTTTTATATGTTTGACTTCAAATAAACTGATTTAGATTTTGATCAGGTTTAAGAAACATAAACAGACTTTATCATTCAACTGAACATTTAAAATGTACATGTTGAGCAGAATTTCGTTTCAAGGGTCCATTTCATTGATTCTAAATCATTAAATAAAAAGTATCAATATAAATATGTATAATAAAATGATTAATGGGAGTTTAGGGATGAAGCAGTCATGGAATCTGGTTCTGTGTTCGTTTTAGGGAGATACAAACTCAGACTATTTGATTTATCAATATTCAGATGAAATATGAGATTATTTCATTACACATAGAGTTTCTGGAATAATTTCAATAATTCTCCATCAGCTTTGTAGGCAGGAATTTCAGACTCCAGCTACAGTAACATCTCCAAAACTACTTTATCTTCAGAAAAACTAAACTTTTTCCCTATTTCTTTCCCCCTGACATGTAAAATGATTAGTTTTTCTTATCAAGAACCTCAGAGAAGCAACCGCCAAGAGTCCGGGTCAGGAAAGTGGGTCCTAACGCCACCAGACAGGATCCCAGTATGAACGAGAGCTTTGAGGATCTGCTGTCCAAGTACAAGCAGATCCAGCTGGAGCTGGACTGCATCCGCAAAGCCGAGACCATGGCGCTGGAGCCGGCCGCCTCTTCTGCTGCGGAGGAAGCCCCCGCCGCTGCTTCTCCTGCTGCAGAGGTCCGACTAGAGCCGGAAGCAACACCAGAACTGCCTCTAGGTCAAATCGGAGCAGAGCAGATGGAGAAGGATGAGAAGAAAGCTTTCCAGGCGTTCAACATCAAACCACTGCGGCATAAACTTCTGACGCCAGCTGAACTGGATGAGCTGCGTAAGAAGCTGGAAGACCAGGAGGCAGGAAGTGAGTTTATTTACACAGATTTTCCACTGGGATGTGGAAACGTCTGTCATAATAACTAAATTTGCTGGAAGATAAATTGTCCCAGAAGTTATAACAAAAAACAATAATATTGTTGTTTTGAGACATTACTTTCAATAATAAAATGGTAACTACACAAGAAAACACTCTCAAACATCAATGAACTCCATTTAACTCTGGAGCTGGAAGACATTTTAAATATTCAGAATAAATCAACAAAACAAATAATATCAACTACGAAGTTTCTAAATAAATTTGCCCTTCAAAAAACAGGTTGAGACTAGAGTATCAGACTGAAGACTTTTATCATCCAGTATTTGGCAGAAAGAGAGAGGAATACAATCATTCAAATGTAAATTATTGAACTCATTTTAAATTATGATGCGAGTAATTGATTTATTGCGGCGGGCCTAGTGACGTATGCACGCTGATACGTGAGGCGTTGTATCTGTAATCAGAACTCAGCCGAGCAGAACCTCAGCTTCCCTCTCAGGGTTTCACTCCAGTGCCGCTGTGTGTCACCAGGTGCAGAAGCAGGAAGCTCTGACGCTGCAGAACCTGAAGAAAATGTGGCTGCAGCTGCAGAGGAGAAGCTCTGTGGCGAGGAAACCATTCCAGAGGACAAGCAGAACGCTCAGGATGTCGTCTTGTGTCGCAGTGAATCGTCGGCGTCCAGCGAAGAGTCGACTCTGTCGTCTGACAAGGTGAGCTGAACACAGAACTTGCATCTTTTTCACACCTGTTAGTCATTCCATACTGTTGTTTTTTATTTTTAAGCAGACATGAGGCACAGTGGCAAAACCTTAAACTGCTGCTGTGCAAGTTATTCAACAGGCTGCTGCGAGGTAACCAAAGAGTGAAAGAGTTAGTGTCACCAACCTGAGAGGTTGAGCAGCTAAGGGTGGATTACATCTCCCAGAATGCTGTGCAGTTCTGCATTAGAGTTCAGGAAAATTCTTGAATATTCTATCAGACGTATTATCTACTAATACTGGTCTATTACGATATCGATTTATTGTCCTACCCAGTTTAATGCTCTATTTAATACAATAGAGAATTAAACCATGTCGGTTTCCTCGGTGATGCTGCATCTGTGGTTCTGTTGGATGGTCTGGATCACGTGACCATCATGTATGTCTGTGTCTCCTCAGCCGGTGGAGAAGCTGGAGGAGGAGGAGCTATCGGAGCTGCAGCTCCGCCTCCTGGCGCTTCAGTCGGCCAGTAAGAAGTGGCAGCAGCAGGAGCAGCAGGTGATGAAGAAAAGCAAAGATCGAATCGTTAAAGCCTCACAGGAGAAGAACTCTGCTCCCGGTTCTGGAGCCGCTCTGCCGGAGAGGCAGCGAGTCACCACCAGGTCCGCCTCCTCCGCTGCTGCAGCTGCCGCCGCCGCCGCTGCTGCCGCTGAGCAGAACAGGAGCAGGTCCAAACCGTCAGACAGAGACAGAATCAAGAGCATTAGATCGGCCGACAGGGATCGGATCAGACAGAGTCCGAAGCTGGGGCCCAGAGTCCCGATGGAGAGGTGCCGAACGCCAGGAAAAGCCCACGGTGCAAAGAGGCTGATCAGCCCAGGTGAGATGAAGGAAGTGGGCGGAGCCTCGAAAATGTAAAGTTTGTCCTTTGAGGACGTCTGTCTGTGCAGGATCCTGTTGGACCTACAGCTGGGCGATACGGCTTAAAAATAAAATCAGGGTTTTTCATACCAGCTCCCATTTAAATGAAATGATAAATACCTAACCGTTAAAGATTAGCAGAAAAAGACATTTTACTAGAAAAAAATGTCTTAAAAGTCTGAAAAAAAAGTTTTCATAAGAAAGAATAATATTGATTTGATGTGACCAATTCAAAGTCCAAATAATTACAAGTTATAAAAACAAGATGGCCGCCCTGGTGACATCACTGTGAATTATGAAAACCCAATGAGCTCATTGGAGAAAAAGAATCCAGTTTTTCCCAAAATTTATCTTCAAAAACCAAAAATATGATTAATTGATAAAGCCAATTAATTGCCCGGCCCTGTACTGACCCTCCTGACCTCTGACCCTCCAGACTCCATCATGTCTCTCTCTCCAGGCTCCTCGGCCAAGCAGGCGGTCAGGAAGCAGCAGCTCCGTACCTGGAAGCTGCAGCAGCAGCGCAAAGAGGATGAAACTCTGCGGCAGGAGGAAGAGGAGCGCCGTAAACGTGAGGAGGAAATTCGCCGGATCCGTGACCTGTCCAACCAGGACGAGCAGTACAACCGCTTCATGAAGCTGGTGGGGGGCAAGCGGATGCGGAACAGGGTGAGAACCTCAGAACTGCGACACGGGCTGAGCTCGGGTGAATGTGATGTCATCGTCCGATCACCAATCAGCTGCCTGTGTTCAGTCCAGGGATCAAGACCACAGGAAGTCTGCCGGGAAGCCGGGCCTGGACTCCTCAGGGAACCTCTACCAGTACGACAACTACGACGAGGTCGCCATGGATACGGACAGTGAGACCAGCTCACCTGGTGAGTAGGATGCACACGGCTGACCCTCACTTCCTGTTTACAGCCGAATGACACGTTTCCTGTTTCAGTGCCGTCTCCGAAGCACAACCTGCTGCCG